TTGTTAGTGCTAGTGAAAGCTTTTTCTTAGTTTTCTTAGCTCTTCTGTATGGGAGTGGTTTTATAATCAGTCAGCTGCTGCACTTGCAGGGCTTTAATGAAGAAAGTGGCAGGATCTGCATCTCTTTAGATATGATTTTCTTTTGGGAGTATCTCACCAAAAATGACATTTTGTTGCAGGGGATGCCCAAGATCTGACTTATATCTTAGTGCAGACTTCTGGAAAAAGCAGGCAATCACACAAGCAGAAAATGACATTTGTGGAGGGTTAATTTTTTAATAACATTGAATTACAGTATGACTTGTGTCACAATTGTATACACTATTTTTCTCTTTGTTCATTGATGGAGACACAGCCTTCATAATCTGACTATAAGATTATAGCACCACCTTCAAGAGTAGGACTAGGCAGAAAAAAAAAAAAACAAGCACTGCCTATGGGCAGTCCTAACTGGTAGCAAACCCCCTTACTGCGATAGGCAGCTCAGTTTGTTTTTTTTTGTTTTTTTGTTTTGTTTTTTTTTCTGCCTAGTGTATAGAAGTAAGGACCTGGCTTCCTGCTGGGACCTGTGGTTCCATAGATTTTTGCTTTTCCCTCTTTTTGTTTTCCCTCTCCTTTCAACAGAGATCTTCAATCAACTGCTGGGCTGGGCCACAGGCTGTATAATATAGATCTTTGTAGTCTCCCCAGCCTGGCCAATGAGCATGTGTAGACCTTAGTTCTGCTCTGGGACGGCTGTGATGAGCCCCCATTGTGGACCAGGGCAGCCAGCGGGTATAACATCTCGCAGGGACACACATGACCCCACCCCTCTCGCAGGCGCTGTGCTCATTTAGCAGCTCCTTGCTTCCCCGGCCAGCTTCCCTTTACCTACCCCTGCCAGCTTTGGTGCCAGGCCTTGCCCCTCGGCCAGGTTTTTTCTGCTCTCCTTTAGGGTGCGAGGCACTTTCCGTGCCCACCAGCCATTTTGTTGGTGGGGGTCAGGCTTCATGCGATGGCCATTTTCCTGTAGCCAGCTGGCAGCCTCTTGCAGTTCCCTTGGGGCAGGACTTCCTGGTGAGTGGATCGGCATCTCCCAGATGTCGGGAATGGGCCTTAGCACGCTCTACTACACGTGGAGAGCTCCCCCTTACCTGGCAGACATACAGCGCACAGCACTGCTCCTCAGCTCTTTGGGTCGGTGGTGGTGAGTCCTACTGGGATCCCCTCTGGCCCATGGCAGCGCTTAGGGGTGTTTGTTCCCCTACCCTGTGGATGTTCTGTTCATGGTGGTCCCCATTCAAGCATGGGATCCTCCCATGATGTCTGAAGCAGGTGTCCCCACACCTCCAGACTCTCCCCCCCCCCCCCCCCCCCCCCCCCCGTGGCGGCTGCTAGTCCCTCTGGGTCCTCTATCCCCTTGGATGCTCTGTCGGTGGTCCTGGAATCCTTTGTTTCCCCCCTCCCTTCTCTGAGGAGGATTCTGAGCAGGAGTCGGGCTCTGCTGTCGTGGGTTCGGCCTTCCCTAAGTGCTCGGATGACGCAGCCCCTGATCCATCTTGATAGTGAGGAGTCCTTAACGGCCTTAAAGATTGAGGATCCTTCTGGGGTTACTGAGGAAGAGTCTGTCCCCTTTGGGTGTCACAAGCCGATCCGCATCGCAAAATTTTTTTTTTTTTTTTTTTTCCTTACCCGCCTTATTTTAATTTGGTTTATTTACAAGGATTGGGAATGCCCGCAGCAGTGATTCCAGAGGAGGGGTCTCCTTCCTTCAGGGACCCCACAGGCAGGAATGCGGAATCTATTTCCCGATCTATGTTTACATTGACGGGCTTGGCCCTTCGCCCAGTGTTGGCCACAGCTCTTGTGACTCAGATGCTTACTGAGTGGGCTAAACTCTTACACTGTAATTTGGGCAATGAACAGGTACCCCCCACCCCCCAAACTATGTGGAACTGATGGACCAGCTGGTACAGGGCCTCAGCTGACAAAGGTTCCCTGCCCACCAAGGCTCCTGCAATTGGAACTAAGTGCTCCTGGCTTTGCAAGCCCTCCAAGCCAATGGACAAGCCCCCACCAATTTTCGGGAGGGTGGTTGCCTTCGTGGTTCGCAGACTGGTGGGCCTCCCTACTTTTCGACAACTTCAGACATGTTCTTTCCTTCTAATCTTCGTCTCTCCCCATCTCGTTTGCAGGCTCTGTATGGGGTGGTGCAGGGCTTTCTCCTTCACGGTGTGATAGCCCTAGTGCCGCCTTTGGAAAAGTTTTGGGGGTTCTACGCCAACCTTTTCACGGTCCCGAAGAAGGAAGGTGTCCCGGCCAATCCTGGACCTCAAGGCCCTCAATTGTTTTGTGAAAGTACGGAGGTTCAAGATGGAATCAGTTTGTTCTGTGGTGGCCGCCCTCCATCAGGGGAATTTCCTGGCCTCCATAGGCATCAAGGACGCGTTTCTGCATGTTCCCATTTGTCCCAGTCACCAGCGCTTCTTGAAACTTGCGATTGGGCACTATTCGTTTGTGGTGTTACCCTTTGGCCTGGCTTTAACTCCATGGGTGTTAAACCTCCCAGAAATCTGTGTTGTCCCGACCCCAGCACTTTGAATACTTGGAGCTGATCCTCGACTCGTCACAGGCGAAGGTGTTCCTCCCGCTGGACAAGATTCAGACTCTCCAGACTGCAGTGTGCTTGCTGCTCTCTCCCCCAAGTGGTCATGTCTCAGTCTCTGCATGAGGGTTCTGGGTCTCATGGTGGTCACTTTTTTTAGGCAGTTTCCTATGCCCAGTTTCATACCTGGGCCCTGCAGAAGGAGATCTTATCCAGGTGGGACAGATCTCCAACGTCCTTGGACAACCAGATCTGCGTGGGATGCTTGACCAAGGCCTCTCTTCTCTGGTGGCTATGGTCTCTTGCTCTTTGGGTCAGGAAGTCATTTCTCCCTCTCTCCATTGGATGGGGATCACAACGGACACCAGCCTGACTGGCTGGGCAGGTGTTCTGAGATTTCAGTTGGCCCAGGGTTATTGGACGTCGGAAGAGTCTTGTGTACCGATCAACATTCTGGAGCTGCGTGCAATCAGACTATGTCTCTCCCATTGGGTGGAGCTAATGTGCGGGCATCCAGTCAGAATCCAGTCTTAAAACGCCACCGCGGTGGACTATGTTAATCACTCAGGAGGGACAAGGAGTTTGGCAGCGGCTCAGGAGGCGTCTCACATTCTTCAGTGGGCGGAACTTCATGTACTGGCTCTCTCCACCGTCTACATTAGAAAAATGGAAAGCCAGATGCTAGATCAGGGAGTATGGTCCCTGCACCCCGGAGTTGTTTTGTTACAATCTATCTGCGGTGGGGCATGCTGGACGTGGATCTGCTGGCCTCCCGTCTTAATCGGAAAGTGCCGAGATTCATGTTGAGAGCAAAGTATCCCTTGGTGAATTCATCAGATGCTCTGGTGGAGCCCTGTAGTCTTAAGCTTCTCCCTTGTCCACTACGCAGGTTGGCGGCTGAGGGGATTCCGGTTATTCTGATAGCTCCGGATAGGCCTCGGCGACCCTGGTACATCGACGTGGTGAGGCTGGTCAGACTGCCCCTGGCAACTTCCAAGGATCTCCTGTCTCAAGGGCTGATATTCTACCCTGCTTTACCATCTCAGGCTTTGACAGCTTGGCTAATGAAAGCCAGGTGCTGAGGGATAGGGGGTTGCCGGCTTATGTGATTTCCACTATGTTTAAGGCGTGCAAGTCCACTTCCCAGAAGACTTATTGCACCTGGAAGGCTTGCATTTCATATTGCAAGGCCATGGAGTGACGGCCATGGAGTGACATCCATGCTCCTTCTCCATATCTCGGATTCTGGCCTTTCTACAACGCGGTGTTGATCAGAAACTAGCCTTGAGCACTTTTAAGGGTCAAGTGTCTGCTCTGGTGATCTCTTTTCAATGCCCCTTAGCTACGCACTCTTTGGTTCATACCTTTTTTGTTCTGTTCTCTCGTTCCTTCAGAAACCACCATTTTGAGAACATTAGGGATCTCCCCTTGCTCATGTTCTCTTTAGAGCATCGCCTTTTTGGTTGCTATAACCTCCGCTTATCGGGTGTCTGAGCTGGCGGCCTTGTCTTGTAAATCTCCCTCTCTGGTTCTCCACAAGGATAAGGTGGTTCTTCGTCTGCCTCCCTCCTTTCTTCTGAAGGTGATGTCTGCCATTGACCTCCCTTCCTTGTGCACGCGGCCGTCTTATCCTAAGGAGAATGCGCTGCACTCGTTGGATGTGGCCCAGGCCATCTGTGTGTACCTTTCTGTTACAGCCCCCTTTCGGAAGTTGGATTTGCTCTTTGCAATTGTGGACAGTCCGTGAAAGAGTTTAGCGGCTTCTTCGGCCCCTATTTCTCGTTGCATCAGGCAGATGGTTGTCCAGGCTTATGCAATTAAGGGTTGGGTGCCTCCCACTCTGTTCCAGGGCGATTAGTGCTTCCTGGGCTTTTCGACATCAGGTGTCTGTGTCTCAAGTTTTGTAAGGCGGCTACCTGGACCTACGGTCAAGATTTTTGAAGGTTGTGTCAGTCAATGAACGAAAGAAAAAACGGGATTTTTTTTGTTACCATAAAATCTTTCTCTGACTTCATTGACAGACCCAGCACCCACCCCTGCTGTCTATTGTACTACTTTGTAATGAACTGAGCTGCCTATTGCAGAGTGGGGGTTTACTACCAGTTTGGACTGCCCATAGGTAGGGATTTTACGATGAGTAAAGAAAAAATAAAATCCTGTGTTTTTTGTTTTTTTTTTTTTTTGTTTTTTGGGTTTTTTTTTTTTTTTTAATTTACTGGTTTCCACAAAAGTGGAGTTGCCCTTTAATTTCTGTTTACTTTTGCAGTATTCTTTGTGAGCTACCATATACTCCCAAATTATATTGACACTCTTTATTAGATAAAGTCACAAAATTAAATAGTATATTCATTTTATACCTTTTTACAAGCTGTCCTGAAATATTTTTTTCAAACAAAAGCATGTTTGTTTATTTTTTTTGTTTCATTTTTAACTAACTCATTCATTCATCCACAGGCTGGTTGGAAGGAGAACCATGCAACATTTATGAATGAGTTGAAGAACCTTCAAGCAGCAGGACTCACTACTCTTGGCCAGGCACTAAGATCTTCCTTTGACTTACTCAATTTGAATCGATTGGTGTCTGGAATTGATAACTATGGACAGGTATATATCAAAAATCCTCCGCTTTTTACCTATAGTTTTCACTGCCGGGTTGACATGTGCTTTAAGTTAGACCAGGGGTGGGCAAACTTTTTGACTTGAGGGCCGCAATGGGTTCATATATTGGACCCGGGGGCCGGACCAAGAGTAGATGAATGATGTGTATGTGTCATCCATAGTAAGTATAGTAATATTCCCCCATAGTAAGCATAGTAATTTAATCCCCCATAGTAATTAATCCCCCATATAGTAATTCATCCCCCATAGTAATTCATCCCCCATAGTAATTCATCCCCCATATAGTATCATCCCCCATAGTAATTCATCCCCCATAGTTAATTCATCCCCCATATAGTAATTCGTCCCCCATATAGTAATTCGTCCCCCATATAGTAATTCGTCCCCCATAGTAATTCGTCCCCCATAGTAATTTCCCCCATAGTAATTCATCCCCCCATATAGTAATTCATCCCCCATAGTAATTCATCCCCCACATAGTTTAATTCATCCCCCACATAGTAATTCATCCCCCACATAGTAATTCATCCCCCACATAGTAATTCATCCCCCACATAGTAATTCATCCCCCATATTTTCATCCCCCATATAGTAATTCATCCCCCATATAGTAAAGTCCCCCATATAGTAATTCATTCCCCATATAGTAAGTCCCCCATATTTTTTCCCCATATTTGTAAGTCCTCCATATAGTAATTAATTCCCCATATAGTAAGTCCCCCATATGGTGTAATTCATTCCCCATATAGTAAGTCCCCCATATAGGAATTCATTTCCCCCATATAGTAAGTCCGTCCATTTAGTAATTCATTCCCCATATAGTAAGTCCTCCAGATAGTAATTCAGCTTATGCCATATAGTAAGTCCCCCATACTTTCCAAGTGCTCCATATAGTAATTCAGATCTTCCTTTTTGTAAGGCCTCCATACCTACCTACTCCCATTTTTGAATAGTATTCCTCCATATACGTGTAATTCATTACCCATATAGTAATCTTTCTCTGACCCATATTGACAGTAAGTCCCCCATATAGTAATTCATCATGTAAAATCCCCCCCCTGTGTCAATTTTACTACCTTTGGACTGCCCGTAGGGATTTTTTCCCGCCCGTGTTTTTTGTTTTTTTTTTGTTTTTGTTTTTTGGGTCTTCAGGTTTCCACAAAACTGTGAGAGTTGCCCTTTAATTTCTGTCACGCTGCAGCCTATTCATTGTGGCTACCCCGCCTACATCCTGACAGCTTTATTAGTCCTTCCAGAGGAGGGAGTATATTCATTTTATACCCATGTCCGAAGGGGGGGGGCCAAACCGAGAGGAGAGTTTTTTTTATTTTTTTTGAGAGGAGAACTAAGGGAGGGGATGGAGGAGAGGAGGGAGGAAGGAGAACCATGGCACACAGGATGAGCCGCATCTAAGAATTTGTAAGCAGAGCTCACGCTTGGCCAGGCACCAAGACTCCTTGCGGGAATTTGAATCGATTGGTGTCTGGATTGATAAAATGGACAGGTATATATCAAAAATCCTACGCTTTTTACCGCGGGCCGTATAGTTTGCCCATTGACATGTGCTTTAAGTTAGACAATCAGCAATGAATTTTCGAAGGAAAAATGCAGATGGGCAACTCATATCTGTTAATAGGGAAAGTAAAGACTGCATAAGATAGTCTTCAGGTGCCATCACTCACATGTGAATGCCCCATAGCAATTACATGGGAGCTGGCAGTCTCCCATTGCATTCATTGGGGCTGCCTCCTGCCGCTAATCACAAAGATCCCTGCTGGGGTTCTTGCATGTACACGCTTCCGGGCCAATTCTCAATGTAGCCTTGCTAAGTGGATTTATAGCAGCATATTATTTTCCTGAAAGATAAACAAGCTTTCATTTCAAATTACAGTTTGGAAAGTGAATTTACCAAAGAGCGCATACTAAAAATTAAATTTTAATATTTCAAAGTCCAGCACAAAAAAAAGGGTCCAATTTACTTATCACTAGATTGTAAAAGAGCAGGGCCCTGTATTGTAATGTTCTGTCACATGTCTCAATGTAGGGCTGAGCGAACTATTGGCGCTTTATAAATACTGTAAATAATAATAATAATAATTAATATCACTAAAGCTGTATATGCTACATCCAGAGGGCTGCTGGGCATGCTGAAAATCTGCGCTGTCTTCATGACAGATTTACTGTCGGCTTTGATCTTCAGGGCTCTGCTGCTGAGACTTGCCATCTCTAGCAGCCACTAGCTCTCCTTCCTCCCTCTTTTCCATTGATAAAATGTCTTGTATTCTGTAACTGGATAAGGGAAAGGAGGGGTGGATAAACATAAACTCACTCGCCTATTTTTTTGTGAACCATTAAAGCTGTGTGGGCTGTTTCACGATTTTGATCTGGCGCTTACGATTTATGCTGTGAAAGACATTTTGGGTACCCATTGGAGGATCGCTCTGTCATGTGTCATATGTCAACTGCCTAGCTAGAGCCTTATGTTTCCCCTTCACGGCTCAGTTATAAATACGTTTTGACTTCCCAGTGCCTCTTAGATATGTACATTCTGGAACCTCCAATTTTCTGTCAGGATATTTTTTTATTTTCTTTAAACAATTTAATTGTGTAAGCATAAGCAAATGGCTGATGCACCATAAATGCTGGTTTAGATCTGGCTGTCCTTTTGCAGATGGTGCTTTCATTGTCCTCATTTTCACTCACCTGTTATGTGCAGCTTAGATACAGGAGAGAGGGGGGTCTGTGTCGTGCTGGACATTTGTCACTTTAAACCAGCATGTCTGGTACTGGTGAATGGAGCCAGTCCGTTACTCACACAATCTACTTGGGTCTTAGCTGGCTTTTTTGATATCGAATATATGCTTATGATTACTCCTATATAAAAAATATTTAAACCCCCAAACTTGATTGTGACTGCACTTCTTAAAAATAAAATAAAACATAATTTTAATCTCATTAAGATTCCACTTTTAATTGGCTTTTTATTTTAAAACAATATCGGACTTAACCTGCAGACTGGAAGTGTTCCACAAAGATCAGGGTTGCTTGACTGTAGCTGTTAAATTATTCCTTGTTTCATAGTTAGAATGACACAAGTTTGTAGCTGGTTATATCTGCTTGCAGAAATTGTTCTAATTTATTGGTTCGTGTTCATGTTTTTGTTTTGTTTTTTTAATTCTTTAAGGGAAGAAATCCATTCTTTTTGGAGCCTTCCATTTTGATCACCATCAACAGATGGCAACAAGCTTACAATTCCTTCAGGTGTTCAGGAAGAGGTGAGTGTTTTCTGCTATGATTTGCTCCACACTGACTACTTTAATATAAACAGAATGCTCTGTGCATGTCATTCTATAATCTGATTACATTTCACATTGTCTAAGTGACTATAGTCCTGCTAGAGCAAACTCTTTATTGTATGTTTCTTTATCTGCTCTCTTTATCTTTCTCTCTTAAAGCTCCATCTTCCCCTAAACTCTCCGTTGCCGGGAAGTGAACTCACTAAAGAGCCATTCCGGTGGGATCAGAGGTTATTTGCACTTGCACTTCGCCTTCCTGGAGCTTCGTCTGTGGAGCCTGAGCAGCTCGGCAGTGTGCCATCTGATGAGTCTGCCATTACACAGATGTGTGAAGTCACAGGAGGTAAGATATCTGCACCTATAAGTTAAGTGTGAATTAGTGTGTCCTGGCAGAAGAGAATCTCCTCCGAGTTCCTAATACAAGTATTCTTCCTTTGTCTGCCTTTAAAAACACATCCTTGGCGATTCTATTTCTAATGTATGGATGTTCCATTCAATTAGGATTGAAAAAGAGACCTTCATTCAAATATATCATTATGAAGCTGTCAGTGTTTGTGTAAAGTTATACTTAACATTGCAGTCTTGATGCCGAGTTTCTCCGTTGACCTCATACCACTGCTTGTGCTTCTATTGCTGTCAGAATTGTGTGTTATCACTTCATGTAAGACTCTTCCAAACAGATGGTCAGTGCTGTCTCCCAGCAGGGTGATCTTCAAGTTTTATTTTCATATCAGGATTGCACAAATAATGATACAACCAAATTGCTTGCATCATACAGTAATAACTGAGTAGATGTCTTGCTTAAGAAAACAGTCATTTTGCTAATATTGCTCCCTACCCTCACCCTGATACCTCTGCTGTGCTTCTCTTTTGCTTTTTATGAAACCTTGGGAAATACCTGATAGGTCCATGTTTTTTGGAGCATGTCAATTCTTCCCAGGTTAAAGTTGCACAGATCTGAGTAGAGGAAGTCCTTAACCCTGTGTAAACTTCAACACTGAAATTACACAAAGAGAACCCCTGGCTTTCATGGATAAAAAGAGGAACCCACTTTGCTCTGCAGGTAGATAATGCTTTTTTAAAAAAATACCTTCAGTGACAACAGATTTAACATTTTAAGGTAAGGTATACAGTGCTCAGCATAAATGAGTACATCCCAACAGATTTGTGTTAGAAAACCTTTACTTTCCTTTCAGAATCAACATTTTCTAATATTCCCCCGCAAATTGATTGCAAACAAGATTGGTTAATTTGCACACATAAAGTATTTTTCCTAACATTCATTCAAGACCATGTTGCAAAAATGAACACACCCCAATGGAAGTCTTAGGCGCAAAGCTAAATTTTAGACGACAAAATCTGAATTAACAAGAATTCAACAGGTGAGTTTAATTATTCATTAAACAGGTGACCAGCAGACAGTTGATTTATAAAAGGGTGTTGCTTAACCATTAGCGGCCCGGCCAATGGCCGTTTGGCGGCTTCAGAAGTGTCTCTCCGTTCCGGGTACTTGCCATTTGGCGTGCTCCCGCACGTGCGCCGTTTGCGCTAGTGCAGAGCGGCGCAGCAGTGGGATCTGTCATCAGCCGTGCACCTCGGACACGGCCGATGACAGATCCGAGTACCGACTCCCGTTGCTGGTACCATGTGACCTGCTGTGACCAATCACAGCAGGTCACATGACCGTTGTATACAATGGATGGCTTCATTCATGATGCCATCCATTGTATACTAGTGCCTAGCTGTGAATGGCCACAGCTAATCACATGCACATGTCATGTGATTAGCTGTGACCAAATCACAGCTAAGCACAAAAAAAAAAAAAAAGCTGAATGAATCGATTTCATTCAGGTAAATGCTTGCTTATAGCAAAGTAATTCTTTGCTATAAGCAAATTGTGTAAAAAAAAAAAAAAAAATACTGATCACTTCCCCAAAGTAGTACATTGTTACTAGGGTAACATTGTACTATTTTGGTCATAGTAAAATATGAAAAAAAAATCTTAAAAAAAATAAAAGAAAATTTAATAAAAAATTAAATATAATTAAAAAATTAAAAATAAATTTATATATATTTTTTTTTTCATACTGTCACCAGTCAGTGTCCCTGTTCACCGCCATGCCAGTTATATGATGACGCTGTACTGCACTGGTGACAGTATGTAAAAAAAAAAAAATAGTGAAAATAATTGTTTTCATTTTTTCATTTTCCGAAAAATTATGACAAAAAAATACAACTTCAAAAAACTCGCCATGCCTCTTATGAAGTACGTCGGACTGTCTACTCTGCAAAAAGGGGTCATTTGGGGATATCTGTACTATTCTGACATTCTTGGACCTCAAGAAATTAGATTGGCCGTCAGTACTTCAGGATTGATCAATTTTCAGATCTATACCATAGTTTGTGAACTCTATAACTTTCCTAAAAACTAAAAAATACATCCTAATTTGGGTTATTTTCACCAAAGACATGTAGCAGAATACATCTCGGCCTAAATTTATGAAGAACAATTATTTATTTGTAAACTTTTATAACAGAAACAAAGAAAAATGTGTGTTTTTTTTCAAAATTTTTGGTCTTTTTTTGTTAATTTAGCAAAAAATAAAAACCCCAGTGGTGATTAAATACCACCAAAAGAAAGCTCTAGTTGTGTGAAGAAAATGATAAAAATTTTAGTTTGGGTACAGTGTTGTATGACCTCGCAATTGTCATTCAAAGTGTGAGAGCGCTGAAACTTGAAAAATGGCCTGGGCAGGAAGGTGTAAAATTGCACGGTATTGAAACGGTTAACAAAGATATCCTGTTCCCATTTCATGCTGTCACCAATGACACCACATGGAAAAGAAATGTCACAAGACCTGAGAAAAGAAAATTATTTCTTTACACAAGAAAGGTGAAGGCTACAAAATCAGCAAAGCTTTACTTCTCAGTCAGAATACTGTAGTAAAAGTGATGCAAAAATTTAACAAAGATGGAACTGCAGTCATCTCACAGAGAAGTCCAGGCCATCCATGGAAGTTAGCACCTCGACAGGAGCATCTTCTGATAAAGGGTTGACGAAAATTGCCATGCAAGTTTACTGCAGTTGGCTAAAGAAGTAGAAAGCTAAACTGGGATGATTGTTTCCTGGGACGCAATATGGTGTACACTGCAGCGGAATGGCATGCATTGCTGTCGTCCACGAAGGAAGCCTCTCTTAAAACCCATGCACAAAAAAGCTCGCTTAGAATTTGCCAGGGCCCATGCTGAAAAAGAAGACTACTGGGACTCTACTATGGAGTGAAGAGACCAAGATAAATGTTTTTTTTAACTGATGACTGCAAAACTATATGGTGTCACAAAAGTGAGGAGTACAAAGAAAAATGCATGGTGGTGGCAGTGCCCTTCTGTGGGGCTGCATGAGTGCTGCTGGTGTTGGGGAGCTGCATTTCATTGACGGTATCATGAATTCATGGATGTACTGCTCTATATTGAAAGAGAAGATGCTACCATCACTCTGTGCCCTGGGTCGTTGTGCGCTTTTCCAAAATGACAATGATCCAAAACACATGTCTAAAGCCACTGTTGCATTTCTGAAGAGCAGGATAAAAGTGATTCAGTGGCCAAGTATGTCTCCTGATCTGAACCCAATCGAACACCTATGGGGAATTCTGAAGAGACAAGTTGAGCATCACTCTCCATCCAGCATCCAGGCTCTAAAAGAGGTCGTTCTGGAAGAATAGAAAAAGATAGATGTTGCAATATGTTGCCAACTTGTTCATTCCATGCTTAGAAGACTTGGGGCTGCAAGTCATGGAGGTCATACAAAATGCTAGATGTAGTAATTCTTGTTGTGGGGTGTCTTCAGTTTTACTCAAATTGGTTGATGCAAAAATGAAGATTTTGTAATCAGTTACCTTATTAACCTTACTGAAATGAGTTAAACAAAACTCAGTTTTGTAAAAATTTTGGAAATTGTTTTTGTGTTCATTGACGTATTGATTAAAGTCGTACATTTTTGAAAAGGGGTGTACTCTTTTTTTTTTTTTTTTTTTTTTTTTTTTTTTTGTGCTGAGCACTGTATGATGAAAAGGCTAGATTTTTATAGATCCTGGGTAATAGGCTGGTTCCATCATGTGATTGAACAATGGAAAAACCTTTGAGGACACACCCCTCTCCATGAATCCTCAGTATTTTGATAGTGTCCTAAAGGAATGGACCTCTCCTTCCCTATGAAGAAATCACTCTCGGCTTAACTAGTTTATGATTTTACTTTTGATTCTCCAGTCAAATGCAGTCTTCTAGTATAACAATAGAAACCATGATCAGATCAGCACATCCTCAGTATAACCTAACCTAGGGAGTTGTACCTAGACCCCACATCGTTAAGGCGGCCTGTATTGCTGCTTAGGGCACTTGATCCTGCTTGGACGTTCACTTTTGTATTTGGTATACAGGTCCAGGGTTATGGTCCATCCCTATGGAAACCAAACTCTGAAGTCCCCCTCAGAGGTATGCCCACCATGATAGGCAAAACCTGGACCCTATAGAGGGACTAGTGACATGGACAGGTAAAACAGGGTCACCCTGTTTATGGGATCATTGTTGTAACCCCATAGCAAGTATGAGACATAATATCGCTACTACTTGCTTTACATTGATTTTTGTGATTTGTATTATGAATATTATTTCCATATACCTTAAAACAATCGGGAAACCAGGAATGTATTTGAATCCTTTTCAGTTGTATGGTGTTGAGCTTTTCAAACTTGCTAGATTCCACAATCAGAGTGTAGTCTCATTTTGGGTGGCCAGGTGTTGCACCACAGCATAGGTTGCACAGTTTACTTCCACCTCCGCCTTGAGCCTTTTATAAGGTACATGGGTGCTTCCTCCCACTCTTTTACAATGAGAACTTCACTACAGAACAGTTGACACCCGGGTTGCTACATACTCCTTTTATCGAGCATGCTTGCCCTATTTGCACCATACTCTGTGAGTACCCTACAGGGGAATATTTTCACTTATGGCAATGGTGGAATCCTATTTTAACACTGGTCTCTACATTCACTTCTAGTTCTATCTCAAGTATGCAACAGTTGGCCTACCTGACTAAAGAAGACGTTTCTGCAGCTGTGCCACAATTTCTCAGAAAACTAGCATCTTTAATACAGCTAGTGGTAGACCCGAGTGGTAGACCCTGCCATCTCGGTCTCAAACAGCTTATTGTACCCACTAAAGATGTTCCTTCATTCAATAATTTTGCTGAAAAAAAAGTTTGAGATGCACGAATGGCCTCTTGTTTATTGCTCTTGCATGCCCAGTTCAGCAACCTGCTGTTGTGGCAGTTTCTGCTTGTCATACTGCAGTTAGTTGGACTAGGGCAGTGTACAATCAACATGATCCTATCATTCAGGACCATGCTTAGGTAGAGCACTTACAAACATTTCCTACTGCTTTGCTCTTTTGTGGTAGTGCCCTCGAACAGGTCATGACACACATTTCCAGAATTATTTTGTTTGTTTTTTTTTTTTTTGTCCATATGCGCAGAATCTTGTGGATAAACGCCTGCACAGCTGAATCTGACTGTAAAAGACACCTCACGTGTATGCTTTTTGAAGTAAGACATTTCTTTGGTGATGCACTTAACATATTCATCAGGGATGTCACAGGAGGAAAAATCCTTCTTCCGCAGTGGAAGGTTCTAAAAGCCCCCTCTTTGGAGACTTCTACCTCCTCAAAACAAAGAGCACCTCAATGCTGCACCCAGATTTCAGCGTCTAAGCCTGAGTTCAGTCCTTTATTTCAGCGTTGGACTTGGCCCTTAAAGCTCTTTCCAATGAAGGGACGCCTTTACTCTTAATAGTGGGGATATGTCCGTTACAGTTTACATTTCACTTTAAGTCCAAGACCTGTGGGTTCAATCGGTGGTTTAAAAATAGTTCAAAACTCTACCCACTCTCCACTTTTTTTCTCAAATCAACCAAAAACTGCCCATGTACAGTTAGATTTGCAGAAAGCCCTAAATCATCTCCTGTCTAAGAGAGTGGTCATTCTTGTCCCTCTGGAGGACAGGCTCCAAGGATACCATTCAAACCAGTTTATGGTACCAAAGAACAAGGGGGATATTCATCCTATTCTGCACCTAAAATCCCTAAACAAGTACCTTGATGTTCCAAAGTTTCATATGGAATCTGTAAGGTCCATAATCGCCTCATGAGTGGCATACCTAGCATTCATAGATATCCAAGATGCCTGTCTGCATATTCCCATGTACCATTTTTCCACCTCATCACAGCACTTTCTGAGCTTTGCAGTAGGAGACAAACACTTCAGTTTGGGATCAGTGGATTGGTCAAATGGCAGTGTGACAGAGATTTCACAAAGGGGCTTGCACCCCTTCTTTGCTTTCTTAGGAACTCAGGGCGTTCAGATCACATTGTATCTTGACGTCCTTCCTCTTAAGAACTCATCTCTTTTTCAACTACCTGGAAATGGTCACAGGAATTAAAAAAAATAAATAAATTCCACTCACCAGCTATAAACAATGAACTAAGCTGCAAGCAAAAAAAGTGACCAGAGATCACTCTCAAACGGTTTGAATATATGTGCTGCACTACAAAGAATATGAATGTGTTACATGTGTGGCAGGGCGAGGCCATGCCACTGTAAAATGGTGGTCTAGGCCAGGATTTGTAGAAAAGAGGTACATTGATGGCTCAGGGTTTATGGTAGTGTCAAAACAAGAGTTCAGTGCTCTACCCTCCCAGGAGTCAGTGCAAGGGAGCAGAGAGGTGCATGTCTGCACCGTGCTGTCCAGGACAGGATAGACAGAGGCCCAAGCTTAGAGAGACAGAGAACAGGCTGACACAAGTACAGCAGTTGATGCACGAGCACTGGGATGTGTGTTTGATGGTCAGAAGGGCCAAGGCATGAGGACTGACCGGCAGGATTGCCAAAGAGACTGAGCAACAAGGCTGAAGTATTTTGTTGTTGCAAGTTACAGTGATGATGGAAACCCGCGCATGGGCAACTGATGTCTTTTGCTTGCTTTTTTAAATAAAAGTGGGCAAAAAAAGCCTTTAAACTGAGTTGCTAAAAAGGACTGGACTCACTGTTTGCATTATCATTGAGTTAAACCCCCAAGTTGTCACTCATGTAATACCATATACAAAATTAAAATTGCAACTAAAGTCATGTGCGCAGGAACTATTCAAATACTTTAGGCTTTCAGTTGGGTAATCAATTTTCAAAAATCCACTCTCCAATCTTCCCTTTGCTTGGAATTCTTGGGCCTCATTCTAGACACAGCCCAAGCAAAACTCTTTTCTTCCAGAAAACTAGTCTCAGATCTCACACTCGGCCTAAATATCAGAGACATCCGTGTGAGAATCTTCGTAAGTTCTGGGCCTCATGGTGGCATTCAAGGACTGTCCAACACAACATCTTGTTGGCATAGAACAGACGCTCTTCCTTTTCTGATCTCCCTATGCTTCTATCTAGCCAAGCATGGAACTCTCTAGCTTGGTGGATTTCCAACCTAGTTTCTACCATGCCAATAAAGGGTGATAACCATGTTCCAATCTTTCACAGTTCAAGGATGGTGGTCACCCAAGGAAGCCAAGCTCTCAATCAACATTTTGTAGCTCAGAGCGATACAAATGTCACTGCACTAGGGACCCTTCTTCAGGGACACCTGATCAAGGTGCAATCTGACAACACCATGGCTGTGGCCTACATAAGTCACCAGGTTGTACCAGGAATTGTGCAGCCTTGAAAGAAGTAAACCTGATCATATCATGGATGGAGAAACTCTCCAGCGATCTCTTCTGTTCACATTCTGGTTTTGACCAGGATCAAGAATCCTCTAGCACTGCCACTGGATTGTCTGATAATCTCCTGGAACCCAGTTCAGGCTAATTTACTCCTTTTCCTCAGTGCAAATTTTACTTCTTCCTGCTAAGTAAAATAGAGCAATGGTAAAAAAAACTTTGATTCTCATTGCGCCAAACTGGCAAGAAGAAGAACCTGGTACATAATACCTGACTAGGAGATTACCCCTGGTCTCCTTCAAACAGGTCAGACCTGCTGTCCCAGGAGCCCCTGTTCCATCCTTCTTCTCCGTCACTAACATGAATGAAGCCCAGGTCTTGAGGAACAGAGGGATCTCTCATTCTGTCATTTGCTGAAAGCAAGAAAAACCATATTCAGAAAGATCCAGTATTGTATCTGGAAATCCTTCTTTGTCTGGTGTAAAAACAGACAATTCAGTTTATTATTCTGTGCCTTGCATTCTGGCATTTCTACAATTGTGACTTGGCCAGAACTTGGCCTTGAGTGCTGTTAAGGTACAGGTTTCAGTTTTGTCCATTCTTTTACAAAATTCTCTGTCTTGGCTTTCACTTATGTAAAAAAACAAAACTTTTACTTAAAGCGAACAGAAATAACCCCCTTTGGAACTTTAATGCAGATGGCATACCATCACACATATATGTGATCGTGTGTCAGTTGCATTAAAGTCCCAAAAGGAGTTATTTCTGTTTGCCTTTATGCTGGGGATGAGGAGCTAGCTACTCTATTCTTTTTTTGAACTTTTATTTAAGGTGTTTCTAGGATCAAACAACGCCCCACAGCACCCTGTGCTACCTGGGATCCCCAAATTGGTTCTCTGTCCTGCAGAAACCACCCTTTGAACCCATCAGGGTATTCCCCATGGATGATCTCTTCTGCAAGGTAGCCTTCTTAGTGGCTATGACATCTGTCAGACATGTCTCTGAGCTAGTGGTTCTCTCTTGTAAGGGAGTCATTCCTCATTCTTCACAAGAATAAAGTAGTCTTGCACCCAAGATCCTCCTTTCTTTCTAAGGTGGTGTCTGTGTTCCACCTCGATGAAGGCTGAAGCCTTCCTTCTTTGTCCCTGGCCCTTAAACCCCAAAGGAGATTGCTCTGACTACATCCAGACAATGAAGAGAAGCTACAGCTTCTGTCAGGAAGATGGACTCTCTACTTGTCTTATCCTCAGGGTCCCCTGAAGGCTAAAGAATCTCCTGCACTAATATGTGCTCACTCCATCAGGTCTGTAGGAGTTTCCTGGACATTCCCGCATGAAGCATCTGTTGCCCAGGTTTATAAGGCCACTACCTAGTCTTCTAGGTGGATGTCCAGTCTTCTGTGGATGCAGCTTTCGGCCTCAAGGTACTTGCAGCAGCACTGTTGGGTCTGTTGACCCATGCTTTTTAGGCCCGTAGGCACAGTTCTGTTTGCTTTTTGTTGCTCACTCTTCTCATTTTATTGCTTGGGGTATCCCAAGGTCTACGAATATCAAGCCTGTATTCTGTACCAAGAGGAATTTTGATTTGCTTGTAAATTCTGTGTTTGGAGACACATGCCACCCTCTCATTTTGTTCCTGTCTTATTCTGCATTGCTTGCTAAACCCGACTCACTGTGGGGTAGGGCTAAAGGGGGATGCTGCCTGTTCTAGTCTGTTGCCCAGGATCTAAGAATGTCAAGACTCTGCCCTGTGCTGTACTCCAGGATATGGAATTTGCAGGTAAGTCAGAATTCTTTTTTTTTTTCTTTTCATGGAGAAAGTTTACCCTTGTCATAAAATAGTACTGTGCTATGGCCTTTATTTTACTTTCCATTAGATCGGTTTATATATTCCATTGATGGGTATACAAATTTTACTAATAGAAGCTGAATATAAAAGAAAAATGTTAAGTGCAGGTAGAAGTACTTTTTTTTTTTTTTTTTTTTTTTTTTTTTTTTTTAACCAAGTTTTATTTTCCAGGTCGTTCTTACTGTGTCAGGACACAGAGGATGTTGAACCAATGTCTGGAATCCCTTGTTCAGAAGGTTCAGAGTGGAGTTGTAATCAACTTTGAGAAGACTGGCCCTGACCCTGTTCCGAATGTGGAAGGTAAATATCGTCTACACCTTTGTTAGATTTTCTAATTATTAGATTTTACTATGACCTTTTTGCACTCACTGTAGCAGTCTTGTCAGGGGATCAGGATTTTGCAGAGCTTGGCCCCCAACCCGATGAGTGGTGATCTGGCAACAGGTGGGGAATAGTCAAGAAGCATCAGAAGAGGGGCTGAAAGCACATATCCACAAAATAGAATAAACAGAACAGGCAGATGTAGGCACAACCAATCTTAAGGTACAGAGTACTTTTCATCCAAGAACACCCAGAAAAACTAGTAATATCACCAAATCTCTGCTACAGATCTTCTGAGACTAGCAGTCAGAGACAGCAGTGCCTTAGATGTTTTGCTGTTGTAGGCAAAATTGCAATGGTAGTTTTAAAATTTGTTTTTGGATAAGCACAATCAGCATAGCTTGAGGTTCCTTAGCAGACTTTCAATATTTCTGTACAAAAAGCTTATGAAGCAAGCCCAGGAAATGTAATAACTGGAAAAGAATGCATGTTTAACATTTTCTACTTGTCTTTTTCCTTTAAAAAGTTAGGAAACATAGTTCCTGACTCAGAAATCTGATGAAATTACTTGAGAGGGTGGATGGGGTGCAGGATATGTATCATATATAGCAGCATCAGTTTAAATAAAAGCAGGCCATTTGCCCCTGGATAGATAGTCCCTACTAGTGTTTTTTTCTAGTAGTCTTTGAATTAACAGCCAGTTGTGCAACCTGATTTAATTTGCATTTCTGCATGAAAGTGTAGATCTATACTGGTTATTTGTAACATGTATGTATCTTTGGAAACGTACGAGTGTATGCACTGATGAGTGGGCACAAAATTGCACAATTACAGTATGTGCTCTGTATACATGCTGTGTCCAGATGTTATTTAATCATCATTGCCTGACAAAGTATTGTTGCAAAAACACATCCTTGTCCTAAACATCTCCCTCTGCCATTTTAATGTCAGCAGGTGGATTGGGAGACGCTTCTAAACTGCACCTGAACACTTTGTAGACATTCAAGAGACAGGGGTTTCGGTTAAAAAATCTTGTGAAAAAAAACCACTCTAATCATGACGGTACAAAAAAGTCAAGTTATGAGGAAAGTAACTAGTATTGAACCCAAAAACAAACATTTATATTGCAGCTCACCAATTCCTAGATGTTGTGTCTGTAAGTTTTTTTTTTTTTTGTTTTTTTTTTTTTTGGCTTTTTTCTTTTATGTTTACTTGTTTATCCAGCAAGTAAATCTGTTTTCAACTTCCTTTAACAGACAAAGCTGTCCAGCAAAAGTAGAGGCTTGAGAAAAACCATTTAACACTGACAGGGGTACTTAAAATAGTCAATTTGTATTCATTTATTTAAAAATATTATCCTAAAAGGGATAAGAAGAAACAGTTGCAGTAACTAATAATTATTAGAAGGAATTCAACTTTAAGGCATCGTTCACACACCCAGTGTTCAGAGACGTGAGTTTTTGTGCACGCATTCTAAAAGGGCACAAAGAAAACAATTGTTCACTATGTGCCCTGTTCACACCACAATACTAGTATCACATGCAGATTTTTTTCTGTGCAGGGATCTGCAACATGTACAGTATAAAACTCACTGAAATGGGCATGAAAACTGATGTAAGCTTGTGTCTCTGCAAGTGATATCGCCTTTTTTTTTTTTTTTTTTTTTTCCCTTCAGTTTTTTTTGCACATATGGTGTGAATGAGGCCTACAGTGGAACTACACTAACCAGTTTTTCCCAAAAGGCATGGCTTGAATAATAACTGTTACAGTTTAGTGTGCTTATGTTTAATCTCAACCAGACTGAACCATCAAATAGCTGGTGACACAGCTGATCACATGTACAGCACCATGGCAACAGCACATGAAATATAGTCAAATATTGAAGCTTTCCTGGCTGTAAAGGATAAAGGGTTTGGTTCCACTTTAACGTGTTAGCAAAGTCCATCTAAATATTCCAGGGCGTCTAACACTCCCCTCTACCCAGAGTGACAATGCTGTTGCCCAAAGGTATCTCCGTTTCTGCTCCATTCACAGTGGATTATAATAAATTTACGTTTTGAGGTTTATTGCTGCTATAAAAGCTCCAGAAATGTACCTTAATTTGGTGGCATGCAAAACATCAAATTGTTTATGTTCATAGCATTTTGATTCATAGCGTCTGGTAACTTTTTACTGCTGTAAGCAAGTTGGAACCTAGAACTTGTTGCCATTTCAGACTCAAAAACAACAAAAAATGTTCACCTATATTTAATAAGATTGACCATTTATTTTTTTACTCTTCATTTTTGTAGATGGACCAACAGATTCCGTCAAGCCAGTTAATTCTTTTGCCCCACAAGCCTGGCATAACTGTCACAAGCTTATCTATGTGCGGCCTAATCCAAAAACTGGTGTTCCCGTTGGTCACTGGCCAGTTCCTGAGTCCTTCTGGCCTGATCAGAACTCACCAACGCTGGTAAGTTAATTTTCTGGATGTAAGTAGAAATTGACAGTGGACTTTGTGCGTTCCGGCACTACTTAAATTAACGTTTGCTTGCCAAGCTAATATTCAAGTGCAAGTGTTGCCAGCAGTTTTTAGGAGATCAAATATTATTTTGCATTGCAGGGTAAATGCAGGTCTCAGTGTCAGTAGTTTATACATAACCTTTATACATAATCAGCTGACAGCAGACTAAAGCCCTTTGACAGCTTATGTCATAGAGCCAGTCTAGGCTGTGGAAGCATCCTAACAATGTCAGGATCCACCCAGGTGCCTAACTGGCAGCTGGCTCAGTCTCCGTGAGCCTGCCGCTTGCACCCCTTGTACATCCTGGTGCTCCAGTGAGCACCGGAGGGGCAGAGCAGAGAGCCAGTAAATGACGTTCAACGGTTTCTGCTCAGTGAAGATCAAGGATTCAAGTGATCAGCGGTAACGTAATTGGTCAGTTCTCAACATTGGAGCCTGCGGGGGACAGCTACAGTATCAGACCGATGCTGTAGCAGGGAAGTGAATATATAATTTTTTTTTTTTTTTTTTTTTTTTTTTTTTTACTATGCCCACATGCAAGATGATATAGTTTAGGCAAGTATTCAGAATCAGTAGTCAAGCTGCGGTGCGGAAACACATGCAGTATTGTGTGTTTCCCCACACAGCACAAAAATGTGATGCCCTTTTTTTTTTTTTTTTTTTTTTGACACGTCCAAGCATCTAGCAAACTTGTGCTTGTTTGCACCCACCAAAACGCATAGTATCACAGTAGCATGCATTTTGTGAGGCACAAATTTAATAATCATGCCAGAACCTTTTTTACGTAATTTTGAAGTTATTGGGCTGCCCTAAAAGGGATGGGTGGGGAAACACAAAAGATTGTGCTCTCTGACGCACCTCCTGGTGTGAACAAGCTCTCTGCAATACATGCATATTTTCCCTGTGCTTTACCCCACTGAAACACTGCACGTACAGGAGAATACTTGTTGATCTGCCAGAAATACTTGGCTCCTTATTTCTGTTTTGGCCTGACAGCACAAAGCTTTTTTGTTTTTTTGTGAACTGAATGTTGTCAGCCCATCTAAGGAGCTCTTGCTAAACTACTAAATCACTCTCAACCAGATCTTTACAACATAAAGGTCAGTCCTTCTGTAGTCCAGGATAAGAGCTAGAAGGGCTGAAGAGGGTCTTTGAGATGACAAAGTAAGAAGAGTATGCACAGCGCAGCTCTGAAATTCTAACAAGATCAACTGGGTTATCTTAATCGTACAGAACAGGACACATGCAGAGTATTCATACACCATTGGTTATAGGTGGGTACCTTCAGGTGATTGGACACTGACAAAGCTTTAATGAAATGCATCCTGAGTGTCTCCCCTATAACCCTAACCCACTTCTTGAGTCTGTTTTGAGCTAGTCTCTGAAAGTAATAGACCTTTTCTCCTTCATGGAGAAAATCACCCTTAGTTGAAAGATTTAGAACTAAAACTAAAAACAGGTGGTTCAGCACAAGCAACATAATTTACAGTGAGTATGATTCTCTTGCTTTCATTGGAAGGCTTCATCTGTCCACACTCTCTAGATGAGAACTCCTGCAAGGCCTCTAGTTGTAGTAACCCTTGCTGCATCAGAAGATTGTATGCACGGGGAAGGGGGGGGGGGGGAGGACTGGGGTGGTGGTGAGAACAGGTGAAGATTACTACTCATAACAGAAGAATCAACACAAGAAACACATATTTAGGCCTCTTTCACACAGGGCAGATCTGCTGATTGGAGGTGAGTGGGCAGATGACAGGTCTGTGTCCACTCGGTTTATGCAGAGCAGTCACGAACACAGCTGGCTCTGCTCTATGGGCAGTCTGGTGTACACAGACGGGCTATCCGCTTACACCCAACTGCCCTCCAATCTGCCTAGATGGAGGGGAACGGATCCCCTTCCATTTTATTTTAGTGGATCAGACTGGAGGTTGGGGGTCTTTTTACACCCACCAGTCCATAGGAATTCATGGACCATCTGATCAGGTCTGCCTGAAAAACTAACAGGTGTACCTAATCAGATTGCCCATGTGAAAGGGTCCTTAGTGTGCTAAATTTAGGCTTTAACTAGTTATGTTTCTGTATTTTATCTTCAACCTCATTGTCTTCTACTGAATAGAAGCAGTGTATCCAGATCAGTGCAACATGGGTAAAACCTTGTACTCAGACCACATGCTGTGGAGACAGCCTGTAATGTTGCTTTGGGTACTGGATGGCATGGGCACTTACCTCGGTACATGGTGCACTGTGTTGCGTTAGATGCAGGGTGCTGTACAGTTCTAGTGCTGTAGTCCACCGCTATTAAAACGAGTCCATGAAGACTGAGTATGGACTTTATACAGATCCTGTTGGCTGATACTGCCATCTCGGTTCTGAACAATAATCTCACTGTACTTATTAATGATGATCCTTTTAAAGATTCTGCCGTTAAAAAACTAGGGACGCTTCTAAAGACTCTTTACTCTTGCAGGCTCATCCTTGCAACCAGCTCCTGCTGCAATTTCAATATATATAGAGCTGCAGCTAAATGAACTAAGGGAATGAACCACCAACATGACCCTGTATTTCAGAATTGTGCTGTTACAGAGCAATTACAGTAATTGCCTTCGCCTCTATTTTTGTGTGGATGGCCAAGAAAATGCTATGAATTAAATTTCCAGAATGACTCAAATCTCCATTCATATGCACAGAATATTATGGCTGAATGCTTGGACTACTGAAGGTGTCTGCTATAGGTACCTCATATGTATACCTATCCAAGGAAGACATCTGCTTTGTGAGACACTTGACTCCTTTTTTAAAAGAGGTCACAGGTGGGAAGGTTTTACTTCTCCAGCAACGACTTTGGCTGTGGATGCTCTCTTTAGTGTTATACTCTCAACCGTGTATTAACTTTTTTGTATAAATATAAAAATTGAGAATAATTAAAAAAAAAAAAAAAGTAACTTCAGCCATTCTTTTAGGTGCAAGGCTTGGCCCACAAAGGCTACCAAGCTTTTCCCAAAATTTTCTTCACAATGAAGGGGCATCCTCTCCTAAAAGTGGGGGGAGGATATCTGTTTTACCTGTCTCTGGGTCAGATGTCCCAGACCTTTTGAATACAATTGGTGGTTTCAAAGCGAGTTCAAAACTCTACCCTCTCACCACTTTCTTCTTTTTAAATCAACCAAAAGCTGCCCAAGGACAGTTAGATTTGAAGAATGTCCTAAACATATCTTGCCCCAGCAAGGAGTTGTGCTAAGACCACTACAAGACAGGTTCAAATGATTTTACTTAGACCTTTTTACAGTACCAAAACCCAGCTTGGTTATTTGCTCTAATCTGGATATAAATTTCCTTAACATATTCCTTAAAATCCAAAAAACATTGCATGGAATCTGCAAGGTCAATAATTGCTTCTCTGAGATGAGGGCAGTTCATGGCATCTATGGACAGCCAAGATGCCTATCTGCACATTCCCATTTACCCACCTCATTAGCATTTTCTGTGCTTCAGTGGATAGACAACAACTTTTATTTTTTCGCATCTGCCCTTCAGCCTAAGTGCTGCTCCCAGTGTTCATTAAGGTCTTGTAACCTATGCTTGCCCTTAGAACTCAGGACATCCAAGTCATGGGCTATCTAAATGACCATCTTCTGAAAGACTCATTTCCTTGCCATCTATCAGTAAATGTTAGATGGCTGGGTAATCAATTTCAACAAATCGCCTGGAATACTTGGGCAAGTCCCAAGCAAGTCTTTCTCTTTAAGACCACATTCTAGACCCCCATTCCGAAAGAACACCCAATCAGGTTGCAGTCACAGTGCCATGGCTCCGACCTACATCAATCTACATCAAGTGGGCACGAGGAGTCTGGTTGCCTTGAATGAAGCAAGCAAAATAATCTTATGGATGAAAACTCGCTGTCCAGAGATTTGTGGTTCGCATCCTAGGAGTAGACAACTGGAAAAGGGATTGCCTTTGCCATCATCGTCTGGATCAAGGTGGTGGTGGGGGGGTCCCTGCATCTAGATGATATCAATCTTATATGCTAAAAATGGGGGAGGGCAGAACCAGTGATCCTCCTAGCTCTAGCATCAGATGGATTGATCATTTCCTGGTCTCAGTTCAGGCCACTTTATGACCTCCCACCCGGTGTGAATACTGCCTTGTCTACTCTTGAAAATAGAGCAGGACAGGAAAACTGATTCTAACTGCACCAATCTTGCCCAGAAGAACCTGGTACACAGACATACTGTGACTCGGAGTACCCCTGGCCCCCTCCCAGCAGGCTAGATATACTATCTCAAGGCCCCTTTATTCCATCCTGCATCTGACTTTAACAGGACGGCATGATTGTTGTAACCCAGTTCTTAAAGCATTGAGGAGTTTTTGAGTCTGTGATTTCTACTTGCTAAAAGCAAAAATAGCCTGGAAGATTTATTATAGTACCTTGGTGTGAATACAGAATTGAATAAATTCACCAGCAAACCAGAGATTCTCCAAATGGTTCCAAAGCTTTATTCAATGGTCACATCATATTTACAGAGGCAATGTTTCAGATCCGTGCAGGGCCCCTTCATCAGGCAAGTGACTGGTGTGAACACATGCTTTTCATTCCCAGTGATTACTTTGTGCATCACATTACAAATTGGTCTTGACCTGAACTTGACCTAAATCTAGCCTTTCTCAACCTTTTAACCTGAAGGAACCCTTGAAATAACTTTTTGCCTTCAGGGAACCACTGCTAATGAATATTATATTCACCGCTCACAGTACATTAGTGTGATGGTCAGTGAGAAGAATGCTCCTTACATTTGTGGTCATTGGGAAGAATTGCCTCCTTACTGATGGCTAAAAAGATCATTGGTGGTGATGGTTACTCATTTAAAAGGCAGAAATTGTTGACTGAGGAACCCTAGGGTTCCACAGCACCCTGTTTGAGAAACTCTGCCTTAAGCACTCTGAGGCTAGGTCTTGGCCCTATCCATTCTTTTTGAAAGGCCTCTGGCTTCACTCTCCCCTGTATCTTGTATTAAGCCCCAATCTCAGCACCCTATGCTTTTTTGGGACCTCAGTTTGGTTCTCTGTCCTACAGAAACCACCCTAGCAGGTATATTTACCCCCCCTCCCCCAACCCCCAGTGGAGTCCTTTTGGATGCCATCACATCTGTAAGATGTGTTTCGAGGACAATCCATTGTTCAAGGACCTAGCAGACAAAAGGTTAGAGAAGCTTTTTATGGCCCCGTTTTCCATGGCTGGCTCCACCATGCAACCTGTCGTTTCCATGGCCATCTTCCAGACACTTACTGTCTGGACTGAGTGCGTTGCCTGAGACCCCAGCTCCATTTTAACAGATCTCTTTGCTCATCACCAATGATAACTTTAACCTGTGGCCTTGCGCTACTGCTGATCAACTTGGTAGATTCACTTAACCAGTTCTCCAGGATGAGCACTCCCTTTTTTTGTGGAGATTTCTTTGGCTCCAATGCTGGTCAGGGGAACTCCTGCGCAAGCACCTCAAGTGTCTGCTCTTTGAGAGAGTGCTTCTGTTTGGTCCCTCCTTGGATAAGTACTTTTAGCCTCAAGCTCCAAGTCTAAAGCTGGCCATACACTGATCGAAATTTGGACAGTTCACTAGGGACAGGCTCCGTTTCAACCAGTGCGTGGCTTTCACCACTCCACAGAAATCAATCGCTTGAAAGACTTTTGTTAAAGGGACGTGTTGAAATATTCTCCTCAATTGCAGCTGCTGATCAGTCTATTCTGAAAGAGTTGGGTTCTGCTGTCAGAATGCAATGTCACGGCGGGGAAGGGAATTTCTCCACCCACGTAATTTGTGAGGAGGAAGGTGTTTTTCTTTTTCTTTTCTTTTTTTTTTTTTTTTTCCCTTCAGCCTGAAAAAAATTAAACACTAGCAGTGTTGTGGCCAAGCTAAGTCTGCAACACACTTTGAGAGATGTGATCCACCAAGCCAGCAAAGTCTAGCTCCAAGCGCTCTTGTTAGTGATGGGTCTCCCACACTCCGTGTTGAACATTTGACAACCTTTGCTGCCTTCTGGTCTCAGTCTTAGATGTTTGGGTCCAGTGTGTAATTTCCTGGGGCTACAAACTAGAGTTTTGCACTCCTTCTTCCTCCTTGGACTGATTCCTCCCTGCTTCATGCCTTCTAATTTGCCTCTCTCTCCCTGCAGTAACTGATGGATATTCTTGCTGCTCTTGTAAGGCGGTCAGTTCATAGTCCTTTCACCCACTTTCATGGTTCTATTTGCACCATTTCACAGTTCCCATGTCAATTGGATGAATTTGACCCATTCTAGATCTGAAGATTCTCAACTTGTTCCATCAGGTTCAAAAGTTCCGCCAGGTCAATCATTGCCTCCCTCGTTGCGGTAGATTTTCTGGCTGTTTGGTTTGAATCATCCACTCTTCATTGTTAAACTGCACTCTGCTAGATCTATTGCTTTTGGGCTTTTCAGCATCTGACATCTGTGTCCGCTTTGCAAGGCTGCAACCTGGTCCTTGGTTTACACGGTTTCAAAATTTTACTAGGTGGGTGTTCAGGCCTCATAATGCCAGTTTTGAGGAGAAGGTGCTTCAAGCTGCTCTCTTGAGTTCTGCTGAGCCCTTCCTTGGCTGCTTGTTACACAAGCATGTTCATGTTTGCATGCTGTGTTGCAAACCTCTCAGTTGGATTGCTTTTGGGTAACCAGTGATTTAGACACTGTCCAACACTGTATGATTAAGAAAATAGGATTTTTGGCTTGCCTTTCTTTGGAGTACTGTACACGACACCAGTCCCTCCTCTGTTATTTATGATCTCCATGTTGCTTGCTACAAAACCGGGGATTGGTTAGGCTTGTATAGGTAGTGTCCCTGTAGGGTTTTTTTTTTTTTCCCCTCTCAGCTTCCAAACACCTGAAGATATCTGCATGTAACCCAGGGTAAAGATAAAGACCCTGTGTCTTGTGCTGTAGCAGGAAAATTATTTTACAGGTATGGAAAGAAAAATCCTATTTTTTTTTTTTTTTTGCAATATAAAATAACTTTTGAATGCTCTGCTTGTGGGAATTTAAAAGTCACACTAGGAACACAGAGTGGTACAAATGACCTACAGTGTAAAAAGACAATCCATATTAGTTTTATCTGTTATTAGATGATTACGGCCATTTCAATTATATTAGTTTCTAAGTTTGAATTGTCATCTTTAATTTAGTGTTTTTTTTTTTTTTTCTCTTGCAGCCTCCTCGCACAGCTCATCCTGTGGTGAGGTTCTCCTGTGTTGACTGTGAGCCCATGGTTATTGATAAGCTACCTTTTGATAAGTATGAGCTAGAGCCATCTCCTTTAACTCAGTATATCTTGGAACGGAAGTCTCCTCACACCTGCTGGCAGGTCTGTACTATATTTATCAGAGATGGGATGAGATGATGGTGATGAACGATGATGAATAATAACAAATTCTGTGTATTAAAAGTGTGGTTTATGATGTGGCTACTTAACGTAACATATGTTCTGGATTAACTAAAACAGACGAATGTTGGCAGTTCTTTTGAATTCCAATTTAAGATCCTTTGTACATCATGTCTATTGCAAGTTTTTCAGAATGAAAGAGCATAAGTAGACCTTAAAATAAAAAGCCAGGCAGTACTCTGGCTACTTGGCTGCTAATTACATGATACTATAGTCATACCTATTCTTTTTAGCTGAACCATTTATCTCTTAAGGTATGAATGCAAAACTACTTTCTGAGAAGGCTGAGTAGCTTCTTTACAGATGAATTCTTAGTGTGGCAATTTGTACTCCGTTGCATTGGTCGAGTTTGAGGTTTTATTTTATTTTGCGATCGCTCAGGAAGTGATTACTATAATCTATGCAAACGTGGGAAAACAAACTAAGACATATCAAGTTTGATAGGCAGCTGTAAACAAATTGGATTACTAGCTCTATAAACCCCAAAAATCTGTCTAAAGGATCATCAACTGTTCCATTCAGTTCCAAAAAAAAAAGTCAGCAGAAACATCTGGGGTGAAATATTTTATAAGATCATAAGAAAGCTTCTGTGCCAAACAGTAATAATGGGGACGAATAAGTTATACAGATATTTGAAAAAGCATAAATACAGTGTAAACTCAACATGGATTGTACTTACATCAGGACTTGTGATAAATAGTAATTGTTGGAAAAAATACGGTATGTAGCACTTTGTGTTGGTCTATCACATAAAATACATTTGTTTTTGATTGCAACCTGACAAAATGGGGAAAATTTCAAGGGGTATAAATACCTTTTCAAGGCACTGTACATTTTCTCTTTATTACTGCACCCTGAGGTTTAGCAAGCAGTTAACCCTTGAAGTGCATGGGGGGTGGACAAGCACTAAAGAGAACTAATTTCTGGGGTTCAGCTTTAAAGGTCTGCATAACTATAATAGTTATAGTTGTGTTGAAAAAACTCTGATGATTGGGAACTGTGCATTGTCCTGCTCCACAAGAGATGGGTGCTAATGGTGGTTGTGGGTATAGTCAGCAGTCAGGTAATTTGAATATTGGCTGCACTCTTAGTTTCACAGACTGGAACACAATCATTAATAGGTTGTATTTGGAGATCTAAAAAGCTCTGCTGGTGGAAACTATGATTTTTAGACTAGCATTTTGACTGTATACCCAGGACAGTTGGAATTCTTTGAGATGAGGATAAGCTGCTTTAAATAGAATCTGGTGTTTGAAATATGGCTTGTTAGTAAATATCACTTTCTTGTACAAGAAGCTTTATATGACAGCAGCTTGGCTTCCACTGGATAAATGTTACTGTATTGAAGATGAAATCCAATTGTAAATGTCAACAGACCTATATATATGAACCAGGTGTGTTCAGAGCCAGCTACTTCTTACATGTAAACAGGTTAGCTTGCTTTTGAAACTAAAATTATTAGCCCATTCACCCAGGTTTGCCTTTTAAGGAATTCTCCAATCTGCAGTTCAATAATTTTGTGAAATAACCTGCATACCAGGCTTCTCTATCTTTTTGGTCTTGACCCAATCAGGGGTGTGGAAATTTTTTACCCTATTTTTTTATAAAATATAAAAGACGAGCTTGCACCGAGTAAATAGATGTCCAACTTGTCAAACCTTAAATTTGGGTGCGCTCGACGAACTTCAGTACTCTATATTTTGTATAGGGTGACACTTTTAAAGCTTCTTATAGGTCATCAGATTAGTGTTATGGTGCTAGAATTATTGCTCTCATTCTGGCTTGCGCGATGATATGTGACGTGTATCGCAATCAACGCTTTAATGTGTAGGCGCCCCCAGCATGTGCTTTTACATTTTTAAGTGGGGGTAGGGGGCCTCAATTTTTTGGAGGGGGGGAGGATTGTATGTGCTTGGGTGTAACTTAAAAATAGTTTAAAAGTTAAAAAGTTTCTTTTTTTTTAAATTGTAAAAAAATTTAAAATTTTTTTTTTTTCTAACTACACTGAGGCTGGTACTGTGTGGAAGTAATCGAGCAGCAGCGCTGCCACCCGAATGCTTCCACCTGACAGGTGAGCCCGCAGCAGGGCTATGGGCAATAAGAATCGAACATCCCTGCCCCTTTTCCTTAAATATGTTCCTAGATGTTTTGTGCTTCTCATTGGTAATGAAGTCCTGATTAACTTATAGGTTATTTTTGCCTTTAATATTGCATGTTATTATTGTCCATTGCATGGCTTAACGTGGTTGTACAGGCTAAAGGTTTTTTTTTTTACCTTAATGCATTCTCTGCATTAAGGTATAAACCTTTTTAGTTGCAGCTCCCCTCTAAATACTTACCACAGCCCAATCTCAATCCAGCGCTGTGCCTGAGAGCGGCAGCTCTGCTTTCTCTCCCTCTTCACTGGACTCGGTGACAGCTCCCAATGCTGTCAATTTAAATTCAGCCGTGATGAGGGGGTGGAGTTGAGCCCCACTGTGTGCGTGTGTGTGTTCATAGACGCATACAGTGCGGCTGGGGGTTGAGCCTCTTGGTATGTGGACACTCGGAACGCAGGAAAAGCCAGTAGTGCTCATGGGGGACCCTAGCAGAGGAGGACCGAGCTGCTCTGTGCAAAACCATTACACAGAGCAGGTACAGTCAGGTCCATAAATATTGGGACATTGACACAATTCTAACATTTTTGGCTCTATACACCACCACAATGGATTTGAAATGAAACGAACAAGAGAAGAACCTTCAAACTCTCTGGTTCAGTGGGAGGTGTTACATGGTAGTGTTGTACCAGACTACATTCTGTTGAGATGTTTAACTCTTTAGTGTCTTTCTTTTTTTTTTTTTTTTTTTTTTTTTTTTTTTTCTTTTTTTTAACAGATCTTTCTGTATTTTTATTACTTTCAGGTTTTTGTGAGCAACAGTGCAAAATACAGTGAAATTGGACACCCATTTGGGTATTTAAAAGCAAGTACCACCCTTACCTGTGTGAATCTCTTTGTAATGCCATACAACTATCCAGTATTACTTCCTCTACTTGGTGAGTCACTACACTGAAAATTCCATTCAATCTCCAGCAAGTTCTGTGACCATTCTTGTATTGCTTAAACATGCTTGTGTCCTCCTTTACAGTGATGTCTCCATAGAAATGTCAGTGGTGTCTGTACCATGTGTTTAATATCAGTGATAACACAGGCTATTTTCAAATGATTTATGTGTAGTAAGCACAGGGCATCCTATGAGCTTTCTTCCACTTCATCGGAGTTGAGCAGCATTGTTTTCCTTTTATGTTAGTTGTTTGATTCATCATATGCAGAATATGGAGCTACAAAATTGTTTTTTTTCAAGAATGTTTTTAAAAGCTGTTCACCTGTATGTTTGGTTATTGGAGCTGGTTTTAAAGGACATTACAATTTGATAAGGAAATACATACAATGGAAACCATTGACTTTCATTTTTGTACAGTAAATGGTAATATTGCTGTGAATTACTGGGCATTGCTTGTAATCATGTGTTTAAAATTCAAGATAATGTCATTCATTATTACCATAAGAAATATACAGTCCAGTGGTTGCAGTATAAAAAGCTAAATATAAATAAGCATCATTAACCATTTTTGTGGTCTGGACAATTGTTTAATTACAGATAAATGCTACAAATCTTTGCCGGCACAAACTGGATATTTATTCTGGCTTAGTAATGTTTTAGGTCTGTTGTCTGCCACACGTGATTACCTTGTAGTCCTACAGACAAGTGGACTGCTCCTACCTTGTTGTGGCTATGAAGCTGAATTGTTACCTGTGGTCCCATTGACTGATGCTCTGTTCTCCCCAGATGCTTGCACTGGTCTTTGCAGCCTTAGCCACCGCCTGATTCCATCTGCTGTCTCATATGATCAGTGTCTGCCCAATCTGGTGAGCAGTGACTATTTAAACTGTACTTAGATCAGCCATCCTGGCCTGAGCAGCATTTGTGCATGTGGCTCTGAACCCTGTACTTTGTGGCTCCTTACCTCTGGTAGTCTAACCTGTACCTAAAAATCCTGCAGGTTGAGCAGTACCCTGACCTTGAAAGTTCTGTTGTGCACTTTACTTACCTACCTAGAAATTCGGTAAGCGGATCTGTAACCAGTCCCCGGAAGTGTTTGTTTGTTTTCCGTACAGTCTCCAGTCCCTTGGAACCTATGTACACACCGCACTGTAATTGTAGCTTGTGTGCAGTACTGATACACCACTCGTCATTCTAGTGGTCGGCTCGCCAGAGCCTCTTGCTCACCTAGTCCTGGCTGGTAGTATCTGGAGTAGCGACCTGGTCGCATAGGCTCTCTGCGGTTGTGGTCGACAGGTATGTGAGAACATGATGGTATAACTAATGGAGATTAAGTCTGCAATTTTACCCCTTAAGTTATTTAGTTTTTTTTTGTTGTGTTTTTATTTCTGGTGTAGTTCTCATTACCTTGCTTTGTAATGTATTGTGTATCCTTTACTGCATGTTGTAATATATTTCTTATATATAATTTTTCCCTTTTTGTTTTCCAGATGATTTATTCAAGTTGCACAAGCTAAAGCCAACACTAAAGTGGCGACAGGGCTTTGATAACTACTTGAAAACAATGCCACCCTATTTCTTAATGGTAAGCTGTGGCTGCTTTTCAGCTATTAACAAACGTTTAAAAATAGTAAACAAGCTACTTCTAACCACAAGTACATAAAAACTATTGGTATACTAGCCAGGATCCTCTCTTCCTCTCCCTCTCTTCCTCCCCCTCTTTCTCTCCTCCCCCTCTTTCTCTCCCTCCCCCTCTTTCTCTCCCTCCCCCTCTTTCTCTCCCTCCCCCTCTTTTCTCTCCTCTCCCCTCTTTCTCTCCCTCCCCCTCTTTTCTCTCTCTCCCTCCCCCTCTTTCTCTCTCCTCCCTCCCCCTCTTTCTCTCCCTCCCCTCCCCCTCCCCTCCCCCTCTTTCTCTCTCTCCCTCCCCCCCCCTTCCCTCTCCCCTCCCCTCCCTCCCCCTTTTCTCTCTCCCCTCCCCCTCTTTCTCTCTCTCCCTCCCCTCCCCCTCCCCCTTTTCTCTCTCTCTCCCTCCCCCTCCCCCCTCTTTCTCTCTCTCCCTCCCCCTCCCTCCCCCTCTTTCTCTCTCTCTCCCTCCCCTCCCCCTTTCTCCTCTCTTTCCTCTCTTTCTCTCTCTCCCCTCCCCCCCCCCCCCCTCCCCCTCTTTCTCTCTCTCCCTCCCCCTCCCCCCTCTTTCTCTCTCTCTCCCTCCCCCTCCCCCTCTTCTCTCTCTCCCTCCCCTCCCCCCCCCCCCTCCCCCTTTCTCTCTCTCTCCCCCTCCCCCTCTTTCTCTCCCTCCCCCTCCCCTCTCTCTCTCTCCCCCTCCCCTCTCTTTTCTCTCTCTCTCCTCCCCCCCCCTCTTTCTCTCTCTCTCCCCCCCCCTCTTTCTTCTCTCTCTCTCTCCCCTCCCCCTCTTTCTCTCTCTCCCCCTCTCCCCTCCCCCTCCCCCCCTTTCTCTCTCTCTCTCCCTCTCCCCCTCTCTCCCCCCCTCTTCTCTCTCTCTCTCTCTCTCCTCCCCCCCCCCCCTCTTTTCTCTCTCTCTCCCTCCCCCCCCCCCCCCTCTTTCTCTCTCTCTCTCCCTCCCCCTCCCCCTCTCTTCTCTCTCTCTCCCCCTCCCCCTCCCCCTTCTCTCTCTCTCCTCCCCCCCCCTCCCCCTCTTTCTCTCTCTCTCCCTCCCCCCCCCCCTCCCCCTCCCCCTCTTCTCTCTCTCCCCCCCCCTCCCCCTCCCCCCTCTCTCTCTCTCTCCCCCCTCTCTCTCCCCCCCTCTCTCTCCCCCCCTCTCTCTCCCCCCCCTCCCTCTCCCCCCCCTCTCTCTCTCTCCCTCTCCTCTCTCTCCCTCTCTCTCCCCCTCTCCCTCTCTCCCTCCCCATGGCAGTGTGGTGAGTTCTCTGCTGTGGCTGACCATGGATACGTTTTTCATGGATTGTTTAATAGAAGTTTGGCGAAAAAATTGCACAGCACTGAGCATTTGGAAGTTATTTGAAAGTTTTTTTTTTTTGCATGGACACTTTCAAAATATTTTGTTTTATTTGTTATGAGATTTAGGTGGTATTAGCATATATCAGCACTGTATAATTGGTAATTTATATTGGTTAATACTTAAAATTGGGTGTTGGTATGCAGCATCTGACATTTGTGTATCAAATCCTAGCGCTGGTGAATTGTGGTAATGGTTAAATGATTTTATATGTCTTTATGCATGCGGACTATTGTCAACAATTGATAATTGTTCAAAGTTCCATTCCTTTTCCCCTGGAATATAATCTAAAATACAGTATGTTACTGTTAAGAGCAGAAGCATGAAGTAAGCAAAGAATAGATGAGTAAAATGAGTATTTCTTTCTCTCCAAGTAGAGATTAAATACCGTAACTACTAATGTGTCTTCCAAAAAGGAAACCCTTCTGCAGTTAATTTCCCATGAGGTGTCACTTATATCTCTAAATAATATTAATAAATAATATTGAGATTGTCATTTTGAGTATTTTATATTCTTGACAAAATAATTAAAAAATGAGAGAAACCATCACTATTGCCTTTTTGGCTTTAAAGTTTTGTTTTTTTTTTTGGTTTTTGGTTTTTTTTTTTGTATGTGTTTTTTGTTTGTTTTTGCTGTTTTTCACATTTTCAGTATTTTGCTACGTTTTTCACATTTTCAATATCTGTTTGTGATGATAGCAGTTAATGTAATGACTTAACTTTTTTTTTTTATGTTTTTTTTTTTGTTTTTTTGCTTTATGTAGAATGCCCTGTAACAATCAAATTATTCTTCTTTACTTTTTATTTTCCCATTAGCCATTAAAAAAAGCACTGCGGATGATGGGAGCTCCAAACCTAATATCCGACAACTTGGACTGTGGTCTTAGTTATAGTGTTATTTCTTATTTGAAAAAGCTTAGTCAACAGGTAACAAATGTATAATCAATAATATTGCTTATGATGAGATGTAGATGTGATATGTGTAGCTGTGAGGCCTTCCATGTCTGTCCCTCAGCATGAGCCCTTCTGAAGCTTCAAATTATTTACTTATAAGCATGTCTGATTGGTACTGAAGGGGGCTTTAAATTGTATTTCTCACTTTACATGTTGCAGACAAAAATGGAATCTGAGAGGATAATAGCATCTGTTGGAAAGAAGGCCCCGCAGGAGACGGGGATTAAAGTAAAAAGTAACCCCACAAGAACATTTTTCATTCACAATAGAGATTTCAAACAGCCGCTACAGGGGACCTCTGGAGAGGCCTCTGTCCGACTATCAGAGAGTTTGAAGGAGTTCCCTGGTTTCCAAATTGGACTTTTAAATAAGGTATAGTGGCCATTTCAAGTGTGCATTATTGTGAAAAACGTCCCCCATCATCTTAAAATCAGGAACAGCACTCAATATTTAAAGGCTTTTTTTGGCTCTTTTGGTTCTTAAAGCACAGTGGATAATGTTCCATTACAACTTTTTGTACCTTTTTTTAAAAGCAACTTTAGAACTGTCTGGGGCTTATTCAGACAGACAGTGAGCTACATTTTGCTGATGTACTATCCTGATTGACAGCTGCTATTTATCTCTATGGATGAGAGGAGCTGTCCTTGAATAAGTGCAGGACAGATGTTGCAGTGCACAAGGATGCAGTGTTTAATACTTTGTAAGGGAAATTCATTAACTGCTTAAGGAATGCTGCATGTTGAGATGCCCCTGGGAAGCGCTTTTCACTATACACCTGAACAAGCCCCAAGTTCCATTTTTATATGATATTGTTTCATTTTGTACTACATGTCTAACCATGACTTTTGTTTAGGATTTGAAGCCACAGACCTACAGAAATGCCTATGACATTCCACGCACAAACCTCCTAGATCAGTTGACAAGGATGAGGACCAATTTGCTGAAAACACACAAAACTGATTGTGGGGCAAGATGAAGGTACAGACCTATTTTATGTCTAATATGTTACTAGCAGATATGTTATGTGGCAAATTTACAATTAAAGGGAAAATGTTCCAACACATGAAAACTGAATATTTGCTGACTTGTGTGAGGGGTGTTATCTAGATCTCATTGCTTGGCTCCGTACCCTCTCACTTTGTTGACCATTTAATGTGATGGTCAGCCTCCGTAACAAAAGGGTGACTTGGGAAAAGTTGGGTCAAGTTTGACTTTTTACAAGAAAAGTAGAGATTTAATTTTAAGGTGTTTAATAAATGATAAATTTGCCTTCTAGTATTCTCTACAGTACAGAGCTCTGATTGTTTACATTATGTGATCAAGCAGACTTTGCTATGCAGACAAAACAATGTTTGATTTCTCCGCGCACTGTGCATACTCCATGGTACCAAATGTGTATTACACTCCGAATACTTGGTAGAATCCTGTCAGTAACGTGTGGAAATCTGAAATACCATTTGCATATTTTTTTTTGTGTAAGTTAAGTCTATATTTTTATATAGGGAGTATATATATAGGTTACTTCTTTTCAATGTGTTGATCACTTATTAAAATACTTATTCAGGTTAAAGGTTATGTAGTTGTTTATACTGTGTCAACAACATATCTTGTGGTTTATGCTTCACAGACTGTCTGCATAGTGTCCCTGTGGCACAGATGGGCAATTACCAAGAATACTTGAAGCTAATGCCTTCCCCTCTCCGAGAAATTGATCCAGACCAGCCCAAGAGACTGCACACCTTTGGAAATCCATTTAAGCAAGATAAGAAGGTATGACTACTTAATAACAAAATAATGAGTTTGTGCACAAGGGTTCATCATGTAATATGTCACAAATTCAGACCAAGGTGTTTTCTATATTTGTTGAATATTAGCAGAGCTTGTAGTGAAGTCAGATGATTTATCTTAAGAGACATATGGGTTTTGTGTTTTTTTTTCAAAATCCTACTTACCTAGGTGGATGCAGCTAAAGTTATCAAACCCGCTGGATTCTTAGTTCTCCCAACCACTCTGTCAGTCACCACTGTCTGCTCTGCCCCCTCAAGTGCTCACTGTATGGAGGAAGGGGGGGTGGGAGCTGCTGGTGCAGGCTGAGCCAGGTTCCGGTTTGGGAACCTGAATGGATCCTGTATGGTCACAATCTTTGCCCAGCCTGAACTGGCTCTGTGACGTCAGCCGACAGGCTTTAGCCCACTGTCAGCTGAAAACGGGTCACGGGTGCAGAACGAACTGCACTCCTGTGATCCACAGGAGAGAAGTACAGACAAACTAACTTTGGCTGTGCTTCTCCTTTTGAGTACCACTAAAGATTAATGCTGATCAGGTGATTATCTTGTTCCCTTAAGCACACATGTAAGGCTTCAAAATACATGCCATAGGTTATTTTAATGAACACAGTAAACCTCCTGGATAGGGAGCTGACATAATGGAGGTTATTTACTAAAACTGAAGAGTGCAGTATCTGGTGCAGCTCTGCATAGAAACCAGTCAGCTTCCAGATTTTATTGTCAAAGCTAAATTGAACAAACTGAAGTTAGAAGTTGATTGGCTACACCAGATTTCCAGTGCACCAGTTTTGGCAAATCTCCCTCAATGTGTCCCCAATTCACCTTATGATAACAAACTGTTCAAGAAGCATGTGTACTGCAGTGTAAATATATGGAAGAAATCAGGAAGCAAGCAATGGAGATAAATCCGATAACATCATCTCCATTACAAGTGCTGCATGCAAGACTGCAGGGTGGATTTACTAAAGGCAAATAGACTCAACACTTTGCAAGTGCCGTTGCACTCATTTCCCGGAGTAAATGTGGTAAAGCTCTGCTGATTCCATCATCCAATCATGTGCAAGCAAAAATGTGTTTTTGTTTTTTTTTTTCTCCTTTAACCTGACTAGGTTTTCTTTACAAAGTGATGCTTAACGTATTTATGAAATTCTGAGGAAAATGAGTGCAACTTCACTTGCAAAGTGCACAGTTTATTTGGCTTTAGTAAATCCACCTGTGGATGTGTGCTAAATGCAGGCAAAATTTGTACATAGACTTCTATCTCACCAATCCAGTCCAATGACAGTGTGTGCAAATATAAGCACTATGGGTCTTCCACACAACCAGGTGTGTGAGGTAATGTAAAGCATAGCTGCCGAAATCAAGCTTTGCAAGTCAAAAAGTCTATACAAGTCTGCAGATGCTATTGTACTTGGTAACATGTCATGTAACCTCGGGTTTTGTTTTTTTGTTTTTTTTTTTTTAAACTCTCTACTCCTAGGGTATGATGATTGATGAAGCTGATGAGTTTGTTGCTGGACCACAAAATAAAGTTAAACGGGCTGGAGATGCCAACACTCCGGCCTCTTTAAAGAGAAGAAGAAACATGTCTCCCCTTCTCTTAAGAAGACCTCAGACTCCCCCTATTATAACCAATCATGTAGGAGGGAAGGGCTCCCCTACAGCACCAGGTAGCCCAACTCCACACAACCTAATTAAGCCTATTCCCATACACAAAGGTAAGCCTTCTTTATTTGCTGTGTTTTTTATAATGTTTCTGGTTATGTTTTTCATGGCTATGGAACGATTTAGCACAATTCAAACTTAGGGAAGGGTGGAGGGTTATAAAGTCCAACTCCACTCAGTTGATATTTTAGTTTTGAGTAATTATTGCAAATTTAACTAAAATAAGACTCAACTGTTTAGGATAGATCAGTGTTTATTTTTTATCTCCTGCAAGTCTCTTCTCCTTAACATGTTAATTTCACAATAATAAACATCATACAGTATACAATTTTTATTTTTTAATCTTGCATATGGGGTTTTAAAGATGTATTGAACCCAAAACCAAAAATGTATTGGAGCGTACCAATCATTACATGTGGTGGCTGCATCAGTTTTCTTTTTTTTTTTTTCTTCACCTGGTGATCAGGCCAGTAATACACCTCCTGTATTGGTGAGACACCTCTCTGGAGGAGAGGGCACAGGACACTGTCAGCAACATTGTCAGCAGTGGGGGGATGGGAGCGTTAAATGTATTAGCAGGTTTGAATACAATAAGTAATTGACAATAAAAAATTGACAATAAGAAATCAGATTAGGAAATCTTCTACAAACTGCAAAAAACACATAGGAGGATGCAAACGCCTAGTGCATTACCACCATAATGTTTATTGTATCCCAAAGACAATTTATACTCACAAATATAAGGAACAGGTGTATCAAATAACTCCAGCTGTAAGGTGATGTCACCTCACCATGTGTAACACAGTTGGAAGGCTGATACGTTTTCAGGGGATGTGCCCCCTTCCTCAGAGCTCAACAAATTGAAACCAAACTCCAGCTCACACTTTAATTTAAAACCTTTATCCTAAAGTATAATCAGTTACAGTGAACAGATTTTTTTAAAGTGTTACTAAACTCGCAACAGTAAAATCAGTCTGTATACGCAGTAAAGCATGCTGCTTATTCTCACTGTGGAACTTAAGGGGTTAATCCTCCGCATTGTGTAAAAAGAATTTTTTCTTCTCTGATATTCCCCTTCTTCCATTATCTTCTAAATATAAATATATCCTGATAGAACTGAGGCTGGGAAGGGGGGGGGGGGGGGATTCGGCAAGCTGCACATGCTTAGTTTGGTATGTATTGCTAGAGAAATTTTTTTTTTTTTTCTTGCGAGAGTGCATGTGATCAGCACAGAGCCAATCGGCACTCTCCAGACAGAGATCAGGGGTCCCGCATCCTCCTAAAGGAGAATGAAAAACTCCTCCTACATGCTGTAACCACCAGTGCTTTGCTGGACACCATAGAAGTCACAAGACTACTCTAACTGCTGATGAGAAAAGGTATTTAGCAGTTTATAGTTACTAAAATTGCACTTCCATGATTTTTGTACTGTGGTAGACCAGATATAGTGAATGCAGGGTCCTGGGTTTAGTAACACTTTAATAAATAAAAGCTGATCATTTTAATCACTACTGCCAGTTGTAAATGGATGGTCTCCTCCATGTAAATGGATACATTCTGCTGGAGAGCTTGAGTTTCTTAAAAACAGCAGACTTGCTGGAGGAGTCACCAGATTAATATAGAAGAAAGCCTAAAAAAGAAAGCTAATGCAGCCAACACATCTAAGAATTGGTAAGCTGCAATATAATGATTTGCTTTTGGGTTTAATACTGCTTTAACTTCTAAAACCCTTTTTACCGCATTCATTTTTTTAAAATTTTTAATTTTTGTTGTATCGGGAAGTATTTTTTTCATCACCTCAGATGGCATCCTGAAACTAGAGATATTTTATCGAGCAATAATCTTTTTGTGAGTTAAGTTTTACAGTCAACATTTTGCATATATTATCATGCATGTGGTAAATTCAGCAAATCTGCTTGCAGTAATGTCACTGAAATGAAAAATTCATTTTTAATGACCAAAAAAATGCATGCCAATGAAAAGCCATAGTTTCCTGGGATTTAAATAAGAAATCATATCCCTTTTCTTTCTCTCTGCTGCAGCATGATTTTGTTTTTCATAAGGGCATCAGTGTTTGAGATGCAAAAAAGCAAGGTATGAATTTGATGTGAAGTCCTGGGACCAGAAACCCGTCAATCTAAAAATGCACCTCCCACTTAAGTTCTTTTGACTACTTTTTGCATCTGATACATGAAAACATTGGAAGCCCTACCTCCACACCTATATGATTTTTTTTTTTCATAAGTTACAACTTCACAGATTTAAATTAATTTAAAATAACTCTTCAGTATGTGTAATTATGCAGTCGTAAATTATTGTTGAGTGATCTAACTTCTAAAAAGGTTAGTATTTATGCTGTAATATACTTTTACTTCTATTGTCTGACCAAGACAGTTCAGCTTAAAAGCCATAGGTAATCTGAAATCAAAGAGTTGCTGTCAAATGCCTTACTGTCCCTCTGAGAGTGCATGACATATGTAGACAACATGCAGGAGTTGAGAAACTCTAAAAGGCTGAATTCACTTAGCTTTCTCACAAGAATGAGTATCTTTTTATTGTTACCCACAAAAATAAAGATAAATTTAGTTCATGTGCAAAATGTTAGGTTTAGACAAAGTTGATAAGGATGTAAAAATAGCATTTTTAAAAAAAAGATTTTAATCGGTATTTTTTTCTTGAGCCCAGACACCTGTCATATTTAGTTGAGGAAAGCGGAAAGATAGCACTGGACCCATAGGTTTGTGTTACTGGTATTATCTTAAGGTGTAGGTGTAAATGATCTGGTTCCTGGGCAGGTGGCTTCAACACCCTAGATGATCTTCAGTCTCCTTGGCATGTAGTGTGATGTAAAGAGTTGGAATTGAAGTGCCACACCACTGAAGCACTTAGACCCCTGAAATGCTTTGGCTACTTTTTAAATTGTACTTCTGACCTTTAATGGAATAAAGTTGTATCTGGACCTCTTAGCAGTGGTGTGGCGCTTCAATTTCAACTCTTTTTTTCCTATCATATTTAAACACTTATCTGTCAACTGTTTTCCATTGCAGGTTTACATCCAGTAGGTTGTTAATGGGGCAACATAGACCATACATTATGCCAAGAATGCCCTAATTTATCAGTTTTTATATACTGTCTGGATTTCATCATTTGATGTTTCAGATTAAAAACCATTATATTTGACTTGAACAGAACATGTTTTATGTTTAAATAGAATTGGTAGCTATGGAAAAATGAACCGTCATATTTTTAAACATTTAATATTGCCCAGTATTGAAGACCTTTCATTTATAGCAAACCTGTGATATGTTTCACTCAAAGCCATCTGTATACAAAACTTTGTGTTTTCCAGATGCCAATAATACAGTATCTTCAGAAAGTAATGAAGAGAGGACAGGAAATGGTCAGGCTCTAGAAAAACAATTAGATAGATTGTCTCCACTAATTGACCCAGCTGCTCTAGGTGATGACGATTTGTTGCCTAACAATTTTGATTCTGTTACTGATGAACTAAATTGCTTGAATGAGGATAACTTGGACCACAAGCCTGTTAATATTGCACTTATAAAGACATCCCTGGAAGACTACACACCTCTAGAGGACTCTCCACTTACTCAAGAATGCATTTCTGCAATAACTGTGCCAAATTCCCTAAAGGAAGCTGAAAGTATGATGAACGGGACAAATGCAGATCTTAAGATCAGGGTCATGAAAGAAGTTCGGAAGCCGGGAAGAAGTAAGTCAAAAAGTAATGTCCTTATCTTATCAGTGTGTATAGTTTTCAGTTTTGCTTATGTACAATAGGGCAGCCATATTTGTGGAATACATATGCAGACTCTGCTTCCTACCTAGTAGAGCTGCAAAGTAACTGTGCTTTTACTACTCCTCTTTCAGTACAAGTCCACCAAACTGGTCTGTGTGACTGTTGCTGTGGCTGAGATGTTTGTCTTAGCAGTAAGGGTCATAGCAGACATGCAGTTTTGTAGTAGAGATTAAGCACTGCTAATGGAAACACCTAACATTGATTTGTAGTTGGCAATTTAATAGGTATAGTTGATCATTTGTTGCTGCTAAATGTTAAACTGTTCAACTGATGTGGATTGGTGTGCTCTAAAATATCTCAGCTGTAGAAGTGAAAGCTGAATGATTGTCGATGACAAGCTGGTCACTGACATCTAAAGCAGAGGAAAGTGCAGGTGTGAATGAGACTTTAGTTATAGCAGAAAACAAAAGTTTATAGTTTGCACCAAAATACTCCACACTGAATTTTTGTTTTTGTAATAGTCTGCTGTGTTTATACACGCCACATGCATACTGCAGTCCGAACTCTATAATTTTGTCTCCAGTTTGGAGTACATACAGGTATAGCAGTGGATAAATTAAGGGCAGGTTTGCCTGGAGGTATCCAAATCCTTAGGGCAAAGTTGGTTTGGTTGCAGGTTATTCTGTACTTATTCTGAAATACTAGGAAGGAAAATCTACATTTTTTTGGTTATGTTTTCATTTGTTTACTTTCAGATTATGAAAAGATCTTTGCTCTCCTTGAAGAAGTTCAAGGATCATTGGAAGTACAAAAGAACTTTATTGAGTTCACAATTAAGGAAGCAGCACGGTAAGGGAAGGTATTCCAAAAGAGCATTAAAAGTTTTTACTTGTATATATGATCTATGATTGAGTGTTTTCTTCACCATTTATTAAGAGCCACTATGCATAAAACAAGGGGTGTTATACAGAGGCACTGTTAATCATGATACATCTATTATGGGCATATTGATACTGTGCTAAATATTTACATATTTAATTTTCTATTACCTTTAGTGTGTAGTTCTATATCACGCATTCTATGCTGAGGAATCGGTGGGCTGAAATGACAGAAACCTATGTATGTAGAACTCATGACTACCACAGTTGGGCCATTATCTTAGGCTAGGTTCACACGTATGCAGCTTTGAGAGCCGCGTTTTGCATAGGCACAGCATTCATTCATTTGAATGGGCCGTCATGCCTTCTGAAATGCAGGGAAAAGGTCCCCGCAGCATTTTAGAAATCGCAGCCTGTACGGGAACCGCAATCACAGTACAGTTCCCAGTGCGAGAACAATTTTCAGTGTGTGTGGTGTGTCATTAGGATTAATGGCACCTGCACGCATTCATCGCGGTTTTCTGTGCAGGTGGTTGTGGCTGCTGGAACAGGTACGGCCACGCAGAGGGAACCACCTGCACAGATATGAACTAGCCTAAAATATTCCATAGACTTTTTTTTTTTTTTTTTTTTATTATAAATATGCCTAAATTTCATAACCATTAGTATAAAACAATTACAGCCCTGCAAACGTTTTATAAAATGCATTGTTAAGAAATGTACATTTTTGGTCAAAAACAAGCTCTTAAGAAAAATAAGCATACTTGTATTACTCCTTTGTACATTATGTAACTCCATACCATAATGGATTCCTGACGACAGAAATAGTGTTTACATAGTGAACTCAATCATGGAGCAATGCTATACATAAAAATAAACAGAGGATATCTATTATGCATCTTCGGATTCATCCAAATTATAAGAGGAGGGTTGCTCTAACCTCCTATCCCAAATCTTCTTGTACTTGGCAGCATATCTTCTGTGTAGGGTAAGATTAATGGTGGCAATCTATTGCTGAATTATCTGAGGCAAAGTCCTAAACCAGACCCTTGCTATCATCATTTTGGCAACAAAAAGTTAGAATCCCCACATCTAGGGCAGAAAGGGTCATAATGAGGCCTATACTTGACCAACTGAATGGGAGTCAGGTAGGCTCAATGTAGAATATATAAATGTGTAAGACAGTTTTTTGGTGAGACCAGTTTACTAGATTCTAAGATTTCCTCCCATTCATCATCCTCAAAGAAATTTACATTTATGTGAGCTTGTTTGGCAGCCTGTTGCACCTTATTAGTTTATAATATTGATCAAATTAAGTGTGCCATTTAAAGTCCAATTCAGTCAAACTGGCATTTTAATTACAGGCACACAAGAAAAGTTCAGATCATCCAATAGTGACTTTTATCTCAAGGACTCCCAACTGCAAGGTCTTCCTGTGCCCTTAAAGCAGAACTCTAGCCACAGATATCTTCAGCCACGGCCAAAAGTTTTGAGAATGACACAAATATTAATTTTTACAAATTCTGCTGCTTCAATGTTTTTAGATCTTTTTGTCAGATGTTATGGTATATTGAAGTATAATTACAAGCATTTCATAAGTGTCAAGGCTTTTATTGACAATTACATTAAGTTTATGCAGAGTCAATATTTGTAGTGTTGACCCTTCTTTTTGAAGACCTCTGCAATTCACCCTGGCATACTGTCAACTTCTGAACCACATCCTGACTGATGGCAGCCCTTTCTAGCATAATCAATGCTTGGAGCTTGTCAGAATTTGTGGAATTTTTTTTTTCACCCGCCTTTGAGGATTGTTCTTAATGGGATTAAAGTCTGGGGAGTTTCCTGGATATGGACCGAAAATTTTGATGTTTTGTTCCCAAGCCACTTAGTTATCACTTTTGCCTTATGGCAAGGTGCTCCATGATGCTGGAAAAGGCATTGTTCATCACCAAACTGTTCTTGGATGGTTGGGAGATTTTGCTCTCGGGATGTTTTTGTACCATTCTTTATTCATGGCTGTGTTCTTGGGCAAAATTCTGAGTGAACCCACTCTCTTGGCTGAGAAGCAACCCCAAACATGAATGGTCTCTGTATGCTTTGTTTGCATGACACGGTACTGATGTTAGTACTCACTTTTTTTTTTCTCCAAAGTTTTTCCGGATGCCCCAAACAATCGGAAAGGGAATTCATCAGAGAAAATGACTTTATTACCCCGGTCCTCAACAGTCCAATCCCTGTTCCTTTTGCAGAATATCAATCTGTCCCTGATGTTTTTCCTTGGAGAGGAGTGGCTTCATTGCTGCCCTTCATGACACCAGGACATCCTCCAAAAGTCTTCACCTCACTGCAGGCAGATGTACTCACACCTGCCTGCTGCCATTCCTGAGCAAGCTCTGCACTGCTGGTGCTCCTGTCCACAGCTGAACTAGCTTTAGGAGATGGTCCTGGTGGTTGCTGGACTTTCTTAGACGCCCTGAAGCCTTCTGCACAACAATTGATCCTCTCTCCTTGGATTTCTTAATGATCCAATAAATGGCTGCTTTAGGTGCCATCTTAGTAGCAGCAATATCCTTGCCTGTGAATCCCTTTTTGTGCAAAGCAATGATGACTGCATGTATTTCCTTGCAGGTAAATTATTATTTGTGTCGTTCTCAACTTTTGGCCAGGGCTGTACACATCTATACAGATAAGGGAAGAAGGTTACCTCTTGTGTGTTAAATGCTCGGCTCTCCTGTTTTGTGTATAATTCATTCATTTATAAGCGCCAGATAATACAGCCAGTACAGTACTTCTCATTACTGCGGCTTTCAGCCAGTGAAGGTATCCTGTTTATCAAACCTTTCCTCTTCCATATCCACTCACAGAACACCTTGCAATCTGTGAACAGAATAATAGGTATTCTGTTAAATGGACAAGGGAAAAGGAAAAGCTATGTTAACCATGCTACATGCCCTTTCGATATTTACTGTATGAGAGTCATAGCTCTCAAAGCCACAGTGCTGACTGTATTATCTGGTGAGTTCATATTAATAAATTATATACTAAACAGAAGCTGAGCAATTACCACAACTATTGTAATTTCTCCTTACAAATTTGTGTAGATGTCTGTGGCTGAAGTACTGCTTTAATTTAGGATAACATATCCTTACATGCAAGTGAGCCTTCTGTGACAGCCATAGCCAATGTCCTATACTAGGAACTTGGGTGCAGAGATCTAGGCAGCCATGTCCTTGACAGATGCAAGAAGCATAAGGGTGTCTCAACCACTACCATGAATTCAAAACGAATTATTTCTGTTGGACATCCAAGGCTTAGGTGAAATATTTATAAAGCAGAAAGTTCAACACAAAAAACAAAATGGCAAAAGTGTGTTAAAGTGGTCACCTTGGAAGTTAGAAGTGCAAAATGATAAAAATAACTGCATGCTCTTTTCTCTTCAGATTTAAAAAGAGAGTGTTAATCCAACACTTGGAACGTTTTCTTTGTGAACTGGAGTCAAATGGTCTGCCAAACATGGTAAACCACGTCAACAGCAGATAGCAGTATTTGCATAAGAAAATGCGGACCAGGGATGAGTTTGCTGTCACAGAAGAAAGAAAGAGGACATGGTGACCTCCTCCAACACCTTGCATCTCGGGGCACTTTATGGCCGGAGACAGAGGACAGAATGACAACGTTTAAGAAGCTGATCTGGGCTTCAGGACTTAGTATGAACTATGAGGCTTGTTCTGTGTGGAGGGTGCCACCTGCTGAGCAGGCTGAAGATGATAATCCTTGGTGGCCCTCCAACAGGTGATGATCATACTAATTTGTCAGTTATTTTTAACGCCATAGACAGCACTTGATGGAGCAAGAGGCAAAACAATGCTCAAGTACAGGCTACCACCCTGGTCAGAAGCAGCCAAGTGATGGTTCTCCAGTTGTTGAGCTTTCAAAACCTAGTATGTGCAGCCTATGAGAAAGTAGTCCTTCATAATGATTGGCTGCCCAGTTTGATCATACTCTGCTTTTTGTAGTTCAACAACTGGTGAACCAGCAGTTGCCCGCCTATGGTCTTAGTGGTGGCCTTTTCTTGGTGCATCTTTGAGTACATGAGGTAGCTTGTCCCGTTTTCAGAATAGGCTGCTGTTTTGTATTAAGACATTAGACAGCCCTGTGACTGTATTCCCCCTCTGAGTCACTAAACAAACTACCTCAGACTCTTTTCTGTTTTGTCTACAGACTTTAAGAAAGTGCACCTGAGACTCCCCAGGTCCCCGACTTCTTTCATCCTGTGGGCAGGACGGAGACTCGTCAGGTGGCCTTGCACTCGCTGTGCTTTGGAAGCACTAGAAAATGAAAACTCCTTTTTTTGTGTTTTTTTTTATTTTTTTTTTATGTGTACTTTTAATGTTTATAGAGGAAAAAATATTTTGGACAGTATTGTTATTAGCTCTGTAATTTGATATTTTAACATGTATAAAGAGTTTTGGTCTTGTACATAAATATATTATATACATAAATATATAATAAAACCTTTTTCTAAATTAAATTCTATAAATGCTGGTTACTTAAAAAAAAAAAGTATTGCTGACGAGATATCGGTAACCATGTGAAAAATTTTTAGTATAGCGTTGGGTCAACTGAAATGAAAAAGTCCTTTGCTGAGCTTTCTATTCATTCTTGTGGGAACTAACTGGGAATAAGCCATGGAAGCATCACTGGAAAATAATGTTCATAAACCAGACTTCGGTGCTCAGACCACTACAGCCAATAATTTGAAGCAGAACTTCACCCAAAAGGGATATTACATGTTTTTTTGCATCCTCCCCCTTCCTCTTTAACTTTTGGGCACTTTATTTCTTGGTGGAGAGTGGGTACCTAGTTTTGATCATTTGAAAGCTCCCCCCCCCCCCTTCCCCTCCCCTCATGCCCGCAGGCTTCTGGCACACATCACAAGTCCCAGGTTGCTACAGGTCCTTTCACAACACGCAGTGTGACTCGCATATGCGCAGTAGGGGAACCAGCTGTAAGCCAGCCGGAAGTCGCAGCCAGGTTCCCACACTAGACATGGTGGCGTCTGGGACACAAACATCGGTGAAGAACCGCCCCAGTTGAGGACAGCTCTGGATTCCAGGACAGGTAAGTGGCCTTTTATTAAAAGTTGACAGCTTCCCCCCAAAAGGTGCCGAATATGGCAGTGGAGGGGGGGGAAGGAGGCAAACAAGCAGAGCTTCCACTTTTGGGTAGAACTCTGCTTTAAAATTCATTACATTTTAAAAAAAAGTGGAGTGGAGGTCATGTTTCCTATTGAGTGGAGCTCCACTCTGCAGCTTCTGCTTGTTTGTTAGTTATTATAGTTCACTAGAAATAAAAAAAAAAAAAAAAAAAAAAAAAAGTGGAGGTCACATGTTTCCTGTAGAAAATGGAACTCAAGTCTATTGCGGTGTCCGGTCCCCTCTCCGGTGTGCAGCCTGTCCCCAGACGCTCCCCTGAGCTCCTCCCCCTCCCGGTCTGTCACCACCGGGCCTGCGGCCTGCTGTACGTTGTCCTGTCACCATGGAAATGGAGTGCAGGCCACACTGCCCGCCCCCGAGGATGCTGAGAGTTGTAGTCGGCCCTTCGCTCTGTACCCAGATGTACGGGGCCTCTATAAAGCAAACGGGTTGTTACTTGGTGGCCCTAAGGCCTGGAGAGGGGCCCTTGGTGAGCTCCAGGGTCAATGGAGGGGAGAGACCACTGAGATCCGTCCTCATCATCCACAGAGTCCTGCCTACACTGGACACCCCATACACTCCCTTGGACGCCCCCATACACTCCCTTGGACGCCCCCCCCCCATACATCCCCTTGGACACCCCAGTATTCATATCCATTATCGGACTGGAGAGCCCAGGCCATGTGTTTATCACCACCTGTGACCCCTGAGATTCCACTTCACTTCCTGTCCTGGTGACATTTTTTGAGGGGGAGTCAGCTTCGTCCATACCAAGCAATACAACCCAGGAGGGAATTCCACTCCCCCCTCCATACATTCCCTGTGACCCCTCAGACACCCAGTATTTATATCCACTATTGGATGGGACCGTACATGCCCTGTGACCCCCCACCCCATACATTCCCTGTGACACCCTGGTATTTATATACAGTATTGGATGGACTGGAGAGCCCCTGCTGGGTGTTTATCACCATCTGTGACTCCTGAGGAGATTTCAGCTCACTTCCTGTCCTAGTGACACCTTCTGGGGGGAAGTCAGCTCTGTCCATACCAAGCAATACAACCCAAGCTGGAATTCCAATATGAGAGGGTACAGAACAAACCGAGGGTCCCCATCAGGGTCTATTATAATGGGAGTCTGCGTTCTATTGTTATGAGGGCCTCCATCAGGTTCTGTTATTATGAGGGTCTCTGTCAGGTTCTATTAGTATGAGGGCCTCCATCAGGTTCTGTTGTTATGAGGGTCTCCGTCAAGTTCTATTATGTGGGCCTACATCAGGTTCCGTTATTATAAGGGTGTCTATCAGGTTCCAGTATTACGAGGGTCTCTGTCAGGTTTTGTTATTAGGAAGGTCTCCACAACACACCTCCCAACTTTACTTGACAAAGGACAACCTTTAAAGAGGCAGAATGTGGTGTGAGAAGTGGGGTGGCCATGCAGGCGAGGTTTACAGATTCCTGCAGAGCAGTGATATTAATCTTCCCAGGATTGGAAGATGTATAATGAGGATGGAGACCGGTCTCCAGGTCATTTTACATCTATAGAATTTTTTGTGTATTTATCCACATCATTGAGGCTCCATTTACATATGGTCACTCTGAATACGTGAATAATGCACATGGTGCTTGTGGTGCCACTCATTATTAATATTACCCAAAATGCGGCCAGCAGACCTGCAATAAAAACGCATAAAGTTCAGCACCTGAAAAGGGGTGCATTTGTCACATGTAGGACAGCATTTTAAATGAATGAGCTGCCCTATGCGGGTTGTGCAAAATACACAAAAAGATGAGCGACAGAACGTGCATTCACAGAACGTGCAGATATGAGTGGGCCTAAGACTCTGTTCACACTGCGCCGACTTGGGATCTGACTTCTGAAGACCGCAAGTTGCATGACCTGTGAAATCCCATGTTAGTCAATGAGAGCTGTCTTAATTAGCAGTCGCTCCTACTTTAGAAAAGGTTCCTATACTACTCTGAAGCGACTTCTATCCGAGTTGTGCCCATAGACTTTAATGGAAGGCGCCTCCAAGTCGGATCCTCATCTATATGATGTGATTTGGATCTGACATTACATGAAGATTACCCAGGCATTCCCTGAAAAGTTGCTTCAAAGTAGTACTCAAGTTGCCTGGCAAAGTCACACTGTAAGTTGTGCGACTTTCAGGTTGCAGTAGTGTAAACCAAGACTAAGTCTATTTCTTGTGCAGCAACCCAACAGCTCCTGCAGAGGATACAGCTATAAATGCCAACAAACGTACAGTATGGTGTCTATCACACAGGGCTCAGTGTGTGCGTATATACAGAATGCATTATAATGAGGGTCTTCTCTAGGGTCCAATATTATGTGGATCTCTATCAAGGTAAAATATTATAAGGGTCTCCATCAGGTTGTGTTAATAGGAAGATGTACATCAGGTTTCAATATGAGGAGGGTCTTCGTTGTCAGAACTTTAGCTCTGCGAAAATAATCAGTATACAATTTATGAAAACAGCCGGGGATCTGGAATTAAGAAGATTCTCTACTAATTTTCCAAAATCTGCTGCTAATCCGAGTTCTTTATTTGCGCTAATTTGAAGATGAAATAAAAAAAATCTGTGTGAAATGGTAATGAAATATAATAGGTGATAATAATCAACAAATCAAAATAAAAAAATGATATTCAAAGCTCAACGAGTACCTTGGCATGAATTAAGAATACCATACACTGTGAGGGCTTCCTGAGGGCGACACTCTTTTATATCTGAAGGACTGTGATCTAGCTCTTCAAGAAGCGCTTGACATTAGAGTAACGACCGAAGCGATCAATAGAGTTCCCATAAATTAGAAGCCACTACTCTTGCATCGGGACCTTTTGCCTGTCATTTCATTTTCCCCTCTTAAAGCAGTCTCCAAATTTAAATACTTGGGTGTGGTGGTTCACCGTGACCTGACTAAATATTTTTCGGACAATCTTCATCCTCTTTTACAACAGCTGTCGACTAAATGTAATGCCTGTTCTTCCCTATTAGCACCATTGGTCAAGTAAATCTTTTTAAAATGATTTTTCTAAGTGTCTCTACTTTTTTTTGACACACGCCTATACAGATCCAGTCGTTTTTCCGTCAAGTGGATGGCATTGTCTCTGTTTCTCTGGGCTGGGAGGGACCCTAGACTTCCCAGATCTACCTTACATTTACCGGTTAATCAGGGCGGCCTGGCACTGCCTAGGCTACTTCTATACTACTGAGTGGCTGTCTTGGTCATGGTGCGCTGGTTGTTCTCCCAGCCTAGGTGATCCTGGAAGCAGGTATACCGGGTTCTTATGTGGAACTTAGCAACTTTTATAGGGGCCCGAAGTC